GGTGGAGCTTGCCCGTCGCCCAGCCCCCTCTCCAGGCACAGGCTGGGCTTAGGGGGAAGGAGAGGATGCTTTTTCCGACGTGTTCAGGATTCCGAGGGGAGGGAAAAAGAAGGGGTCACCAGCTGTGTGTGGGGCTCCATGTGCTTCTATTCTCCAGGTGTGAGGGACTAGGACGTTTCAGGTGTATCTGGAGGAGGTGGCTCCAAACACACCTGGGAACCTCAGGTGTATGCAAAGGAGGGGACTCTGGGGGGCTGCGGGGGAGGTGAGCATAACCAGTTTGTTGGGGCTCCAGGTGCCTGCAGATGGGTGAGCCGCAGTAGTGGGGGAGACACTGTAGCTTGGCTTCCTGGAGCTGCTCCCATCCCACTCCCATCCCACTCCCAGGTAAAGGAGCTAGAGGCTTTGGGCGGGGAGCCCTGATTCGCCTGAACATCTGGCCTGCTGTCCAAGGGGGCTGCAAACAACTGGAGCCCTGTGAGCGTTGTGTGGAGGGGGACAGAGCGCACAACCTGTCGGGCTGTGTCTGGCAGCAGTGTGGGCCAGAAGAGCCAGGTATGGATGGAGCTGGGCCCTCCCCAAGTCCAGTATCCCCCAGTTCTGACCCCCAGGGCCTTGGGCCCTTTCCCCATACCTCTCTCCTGCACCTTCTTCCACCAGGACACTGTATGGCCCAAGCTGAGGTGGTGAAGGAAGGTTGCTCTATCTACAACCACTCAGAGTCCTGTCCAGGTAAGGGAGTCCTCACTGGCCTAAGACCACCTGGGGGGAGGGAGCTGCGGTCTCCCCAGCCATAGCTTGCTCCCAGAATAAGAGCCTCTCTCCAGGACTAGACTATGTCCAGGAACACCCTTGCCCTTAGCTCGCAGAGGTCCCGCCCCATCTCTGGCCTGTTTCTTCATCTGTAAATTGGTCCAGGTGTGCAGAGGGGATGGGGGTTTTTAATGTAAGATATAGCAAGGACTTTGGAAGTTCAGGAGCAAATGGAGAGGGGCTTTCTGGAGGAGGTGGCATCAGAAATGAGCCTTGTAAGTAGAGATAGAGCACAGCTGGTGGAGGGAACTTGTGTGACTAAGGCTTGAAAGTGTGTTGGGAGCTGGGATAGGGAACTGAACTGAGTCAGAGGTCTGCTGCTGGCTGGGGTTGGGGTCTTGATGGGAGCCAGGGTGGGGGATATGTTATTTTGGATTCCTTGCCTCCTCAGCTGCCCACCACCACCCCACCTATGAACCGAAGACAATCACAACAGGTAGGTACTCCCTGGGGGCTGGGTGGGCAGAACCTGAGGGGTACAGGGAAGGGTAGTGGGGCTCAGGCATTGACATGCCCTATGGCTCAGCCCTCTGAGTTCTCTCTCTGCACCTGTTTCCACATCTATAAGATGGGTTGGATAACACCTGCCTCATAGAGCTTGGTGAAGATTTTCTGAAGCTGAGTAAGACCCACTTCAGTGTCTGACGCATTGCAAGTGATCAAGAAATGGCAGCTCCCATCCCTTCTCCCAGCACCAGTTCTGGGAACTCAGAGTGATTCCTGTGGACCTGTCCTTGGAGCTGGAGGGCAGGGTGGTGCTGGTTGTCATGAGGTGTCCTCAGTGGCTACTTGCTGCCACTTCTGAGGGTCCCAGAGCAGATCTACAGGAAAGCAGGGGTAAGAACCCACCCCCTGGTTCCCACTGCCCCTCAGGGCCTGGAGGCCACCAGACTTGGTCCGAATGGCTGAAGAGGCTCTTGGTTAATTAAAGCCGGAAACTGATCTCAGAGGTTGAATTATTGATGGCTCAGCTCCCTCAGCTAGAGCCCCAGATCTGCAGTGTGCGGTTCATTTCATCCCTTTGTCCTCTTCCCAGTGTCCTTCTCTGAGGCTCCCTGAGCTGCAGCTGGGGACATCCTTTGCTCTTCTATTCTCAGACCCCTAACACCTCCCACACCCTTTGGGAGGCAGACCCCGCTCCCGGCTGGGCCCCTGTCCGCTGTCCCAGCATGATCTTCTGCCTACCAGCACTGCCATGCCCTGGGCACCTGGCTCAAGACCTGAAATTGAATCCCTGCTGGGAGTGATGGTAACATGGCACGGCTGGGAGTCACCCAGGCCTAAACTGGCAACTGTGGCCCTAAGACTGTATCCTTGGAGGGGGAGAGGAAAGGGTCAAGGGAGCCTGGGAGACCAGCTCTCTGTCTTTGAGGTGACAGCCCAAGTCTGGCCCATATTCTAGTCGCCACACATTCATTCAGTAGGGTGTCAGCCTTGGGGGCTTCCCTTGCCTCTGCTCGTTCCTTCCTCTCTGAGTAAAGGCTCCTCAGAAGAAACCATATCGTCTCATCTGGGCTCTAAGCCCTGAAACCCTTGGCTGAAAGGGGTCTGGGTGCCTGAGTTTTGGGTCCATCCTTACCCTGTTGGGCTAGTGAGGGACAGTTGGACTGGAGGGAAGCTTGGTGCTATCTGGTCCCACTCACCCATTGGGCCCTTGTGAGCAGGAGGCCCAGAAAGGATGTGCACGGCATAAAGTCACAGAGCAACTCAGGAGTAGGGCTGGCCCTGGCTCACCCTCCCCAGCACTAACCCTTCCACCAGATGCTTTCCTGTTGCCACAGGATCTGAGCTGGACTTCTGAGCCAGCTCATTGTGAGGATTGGTGTCTTGCGCCCATTGTGGGGTGGGGCTGGGATCCTGATCCGTGGTGGCCTGCTATAACCTCCACCCTGCCTCACCCTGCAGGAAGCCCCTCAGTCCCTGAAGTTCACAGTCCTGGCTTTGATGGGGCCAGCTTCATAGGAGGTGTGGTACTGGTGCTGAGCCTACAGGCAGTGGCCTTCTTTGTGCTGCGTTTCCTCAAGGCCAAGGACAGCACTTACCAGACACTGTGAGTACCTGGCCAGCATGGGTGTCCCAGCTCCTTTCCCCACTCCCTCTTTCCAAGGGGGAAGCCCTAAGGGTCATGACTCCCTCCCAGCATCCCCCATGTGAGCTGCACCCTTCTTTCTTCTCCAGTTGGGGCGCTAGCAAATGTCAGCCCTGGCCTAGTGTCTGGGAGCTCAACTGAGCTCCCTATGTCTTTGTCCCTTCATGCTGCCAGCAGAGAAGAGAACCAGTAGGTGACAGTCCAGGCCAGTCCTCCGCTGCAGTCTGGACCTCGACAGGAGCCAGGGCCGTGTGTACAGTGTGGTTTCTTCTGAAGAGGGGGCTGTGTGAGGCCCCCATGTGCTGTGTGTGCTGTGGGGTGGTCATGCAGCCTGCAGGAAAATGTTTGCTCTTCCATCTGCACATGCTCTCTGGGAAGTGCCCGGGGCAAGGTCACCTTCCTGAGTGTCCTCTCTGTCTGCCCTCCACAGAATCTGACCCTCATGGGCCTGGACTCCACCCTTAGGGGAAGGAAGATGCAGAGGCTGTCCTCTTGGCCACCTTGTAGCCACTGGTGGGTGGGGGGGGGAAGCTTTGGACACCAGTTTCTGGCCCCTTTGGTCACCAGGTTCAACGCCAATGCCTGACATCCCCTCCTATCCTGGGCCTGGCATCTGCAACTGAGAGCATCCTTCAACCACCTTTGTCTCATCCTTTGCCCCTACTGAGCCCCCACCCTGGTACATGGGGTTTGTGCTGCCTCTTTCCATCAACCCAGCCTGGACTCTACCCCCAAATAAAGGATCTGTTTCCACACTACTTCTTGTCCTGCGTGTCCGATTGCTTTCTCCTTAACAGAAATTCTGCCTTGCACTGTTGATATCTTTTAAGAAATTTTCAAGCCAGGAGTAGTACATCATGACTGTAATCCCAGCACTCAGGAGGCTGAGGCAGGAATATCAAGAGTTGGAGGCCAGCCTGAGCTACATATAGTGAGTTCAAGGCCAGCCTGGGATATACAGCAAAATCCCTGTCTTAAAAAACAAAAACAGAAGAGCTATACCTGCTGGTCTGTGATTCTTCCCTACCCCACCTTGCAGATCAGACTTGCTGACTTGTCCCTGTGGTCATAGTTGATTCGCCTGAATCCTGACCAGGAAAGGACCCCACCTTTCCTGGTCAACTCTCATAAACAACCATGATGAACAGGCTTGTCTGCAGTCCTTGGCACACCAGTGGGTGGGTTTGGGTGAGGACACACTCCTAGAACCGGAATTGCAGAGTTTCGGGACATCTCTTCCAGGGATCCATCCTGTAGGCAAATTCAGCCTCCACTTCCTCTGAGCCTCAGTTCTTCCCCATCCCCCAGCACTGGGCCTAGCAAGGAGGTTTTCCTGAATGCTGCCCCTCTCCTCCCCTATCATTTGAGGTTCAGCTCCAGCTCAGGCCTCACCTCTCACAGCCATACCATGGCTTGATTGCTTATGTTAGCAGCTGCTTCCCAGACCCCACGGGCCTCAAGCTGCAACATGCAGTCACTTTCCCCAGGGTGCTCCCCCGCCGGTGGGGTGTGTGGGGCTTTGGCAAAAGATCATATTTATCTGTTAGTGGATTGAACCCAGGGCCTCATGCATGACAAGCCTAACTCTACAATGGAGCTCCACCCCCAGCCACTTAGCTGATGCTACACTGAGCACCTGCTTGTACCAGGACCAATAAGGAATAAGGGTGCGTAAGGATCCACACTTACTGTGACATATACCAGGCTCTAAGCCTGGACCTTCATGGACAGGTGGCACTTCACAGGTGGAGATGAGAGGAGAGAACTCCAGATGGAAAGCACAGAATGAGCTAAGGTTTAAAGGTGAGAGAATCCAAAATAAAAATAAGTAAATAAATGTGGGAGAAGCCATGTGAAAGGAGAGATGTGGACAGATGACTGGGAACCCTGGAAGCCAGGGTGAGAAGCTGGACTCCTTACAGGCTGGACAGGCGGGGACAATGCCTCCCTGGGACTGGGGGAAGAAATGCCTGCATCCCTGCCGGCTCCAGCCTGGGTGGGGTGTTCCTGGGATACAATGGAAGGAAGTGTTGCTTCATGACCTTCCACCAGCCTGGTCCTTATAAGCTAACATCCTCCCTCTGATGGTCCCAGTAAAATGGGCCTCCTGTGGACCCCACTCTCTTTGTTGCTTCTCCTATTTGGGGGACCTGCCTCTCTGAGGACTCAGGACCACTCCAACTGTCCAGGTAGGGGCCTAGGGTACCCTCCACACCAACTGTATCTCTGATTCCCTCCCCGCCCCAAGGAGCTGGGTAAGTTTGATCATGTAGCTATATGCAAATAGGATGGAAATGGCACAAAACCTTATGGGATCAGGAGCAGGTATCCTGACAGCTGGAACCTGGGAGGTAGAAAAAGGACCACAGAGGGGTCTGGGATAGACATATTCACCCTATTCCCTCTGGCTCTGTGCCTCCCTGCAGAAACCAGGGAACTGGAAGCCAGCAAAGTCGTCATCCTGCCCAGCTGTCCAGGAGCCCCAGGAAGTCCTGGAGAGAAGGGATCTCCAGGTCCTCAAGGTGAGAGATGCTGGGGAGCTGGCAGGGCCCTTGGGATGACATGGGGAGGCCAGGGATACAGCAACTGTTGTCTGTGCTGAGGAGACACACGAAGGGGCAGGACTCTCTTCTGTGCCACACACCAGATGGGGAGGTGTCCAGCATCTTAAGATTTGCCAGGTAGGTGGCATTGTCCCCATTCTGCTCCCAATCACAGAGCCAGAAAAGGGTAAAGATGGGATGGGACCTTCTGACTCCAAATCTTGCTTTGGTCCTGAGTGTGGAGCAGGACTCAGGTCATCTCTGCCTCTGGGATTTCAGGTCAACCTGGACCTCCAGGCAAGATGGGTCCCAAGGGTGAGCCTGGTGAGTGAGTGTGTGGGCTTGGAGTCTTTCCTGCTTTGTCCTCAGACTATAAGGTGGGGTGTCTCTGTGTGGCAGCTGCTCTGCAATTGGCTATGACTGCCCTCCCTGGGGGACGGGAGGCTGGGAGTGGGGAGAATGAAAAGGACCTGAGCCCCACCCCACTGGCGGCTCATGGGCACTCCTTAGGGGTGCTCAGACCTCCGAGCCAACACTTGGTCCATCTCTGAACAGGAGATCCAGCGAGCCTGCTCCGGTGCCAGGAAGGTGAGGCGGTCTTCGCAGGAACTTGGAATCAGGCAGTGTTGGGATGTTGGTGGGCCCCAGGCGGAGACATTCCCTGCTTTTCAACCCTCCCCAGAACCCCTCTCCAGGAACCCAAAGAGGCAAAGAGGGCTCTTGGCTCCCACAGTTATTTTAGTGCCTGGGTGGAAAGGTTTGGGGGATAACTTGGGGTCTCCTCAGTTGTCTCCCCTGTTCCAGGCCCCAGGAGCTGCCAAGAGTTGCTGAGCCGGGGTGCCACCTTAAGTGGCTGGTATCATGTGTGCCTACCAGAAGGCAGGGCCCTCCCAGTCTACTGTGACATGGACACTGCAGGAGGTGGCTGGCTGGTGAGTGAGAAGGGGAGCTAGCAGGCCAGGCCCAGTTGTCACTTCTCCCCCTGACCTCTAGGGGGAGTTGGAGCCCACTGGCGCAAGGCACTACTTAAAGAAATTACATGTATTTGCTGAGCTCCAGGCCATCCTGAAGAAATCTGAGAAGGCTTCACATAGGAGGTGCCATTTGAAAGGACCTTGTAGGCTTGTCCTCTAGACAGATAAGCACTTTCAAGATAAACACAGGAAGGCTCCAGAAGAGTAAAAGAAGGGTTAAGGACCCCATGTGAGTGAGCCGAGAGCACTTGGGGGTGGTCAGTCAGCCGGGATCTGCCAATGGGGTTAAACATGCATTCAGGACCTCTGCAAAGGCCAGTTCACAGAGGATATTAAATGGCTGGCTTAGGTTGTAGAGGGCAATAGGGAGACATTGAAGAGTTTTGAGACTGATGTTTGAGAAAGATGACTCAGGTTGCACCACAGAAGATGCACTGCTGGGAGGGAGAAGAGTGCAGACATGTTGGGTGCAGTGGCTCACGCCTGTAATCCTAGCTATTTGAGAGACTGAGATCGGGAGGATCACGGTTTGAGGCCAGCCCGGGCAAATAGTTGGAGAAACCCCATCTCCAAATAACCAGAGCAAAATGGACTGGAGGTGTGGCTCAAGTGGTAGAGCACCTGCTTTGCAAGCATGAAGCCCTGAGTTCAAATCCCAGTTCCACCAAAAAAAAAAAAAAAAAAGGATTGCAGGCAGGAGCACAGGTTAGGAAAACTGCAGGGATCCGGAAGAAGGCAGAGGAAAGTGTCAGCAATGGACTTAGAGGTGCTTGGGTTGAAAGACATTTAAGAGGGAAATTCCACAGGGCTGGAGGACTGCTCGGCTTAGAGGAGGAAGGAGGACAGCAGGGAAATGCCAGGAGTCAAGCTGAGGCCTCTGAGGAAAATGTCCTGCTCTAGGTTCTTATTACAGTAAATTAAAGCAGGTTATTTTGAGTCTGATTCCCAGCAGGACTGACCATCTCCCGAGGCCAGGGACAGTTTCTATCATCTCAGTCTCCCCTGGGCTCGCAAGATTCTAGAGTAAGGTTGAGTGTGAGTGAAAGTTAGGAAGGGAATTAAGTTTATTAGGAGATCCACAAGCCGGGCTTATTTGGAGGAAACACATTTTATCCACAACCCCCCAGCTGCCCACCCCTCACATCTGCCCTCAGCTGCCACCTTCCCTGCCCTCCTGGTACCCCACACCATGTACCCCACACCCAGCCTGGATTGGAGCCCACTGCCTCTGCTTCCCCAGGTGTTCCAGAGGCGCCAGGATGGTTCTGTGGATTTCTTCCGTACTTGGTCTTCCTACAAAGCAGGTTTTGGAAGCCAGGAGTCTGAGTTCTGGCTAGGGAATGAGAATCTGCACCAGCTCACCCTCCAGGGTGAGTTCCCGGCAAGGTGGAGGGGCCTGAGGTGTACAGCCTGCCGTCCCAAATCCCTGACTCTGGGATTTGAGGCGTCCCCCAGCTCAGCTTCTCCTTCCGCCCAGGTACCTGGGAGCTGCGGGTAGAGCTGGAGGACTTCAAGGGCAACCGCACCTTTGCCCGCTATTCCACCTTCCGCCTCCTCGGGGAAGCTGACCACTACCAGCTGGTGCTCGGCAACTACTTAGAAGGCACTGCAGGTGAGTGGGCCCTGGAGCTGGGTGACAAGGGAGGGAGGCTGGCTTGTTTCATAGCACTGTTCCTGCCTCCATGAGTGACCTAGTGCAACTTCTTCCCCTCTGTTGGGCCTCAGTTTCCTCATCTGAGAAATGGAAATCTTGAGACAGGATGGCCCCGGGGGCATCAGACCTGAGTGTGAGTCCATCTCTGCCAGTTACTTACTATGTGACTTTGGACAGGTCCTTTCCCTATCAGAGCCTCAGTTTCCTCCTCTGCAACATGGGCAGGGAGGCAGTGCCACCTGAGGCTTTGCTGAGTGGCAGCATTCTATGCTCAGGAACCAGGGAAAGCTCCCTTCACAGAAGCAGTTGCTGTTGGGAGAGGTCTGAAAGAGGGAAGTGGTTAAGGGGAGGGTGCCCCCTTTCCTGCTTAGGCACCCACAAGGTTCCTCCCAGCTCTCCTTGGCAGAGTTGCTCTGGCTGTTGACTCAGGCTGAGAGATGACAAAGGAGCTAGAGGCAAACTGGGGATTCTGTTTTTTGGTTTTTTTTGCAGTACTGGGAGTTGAACTTAGGGCTTCCACCTTGAGCCACTCCACCAGCCCTTTTCTGTGATGGGTTTTTCTGAAATAGGGTCTTGTGAACTATTTTGCCTGGGCTGGCTTCAAACCACAATCCTCCTGATCTCTGCCTCCTAAGTAGCTAGGATTACAGGCGTGAGCCACTGGTGCCTGGCAAGCTGGGGATTCTGCAGGGGATAAGGCTGGGGGAAAAGCTGGTGGCCTGGAGCAAGACAGTCCTGAGTTCAAGTCCCACTGCCCCGGGACTAGCTGAGTGACCCTGGGCACACACCCTGGCCACTTGTTGCTATCGTTACATGGGGCCTCATAACATCCACCTCACATTTGCTTTGTGGTTTCCTTGGGGTGATATCTCCAAGGGCGTGGGGCACCATGATGACTTCCATCTCCATCCTCTCCCTGCAGGGGACTCTCTGAGCTTCCACAGTGGGAAGCCCTTTACCACGCATGACGCTGACCATGATTCAAGTGGGGGTAACTGTGCGGTCATTGTCCATGGTGCCTGGTGGTATTTCTCCTGCTACCGGTCCAATCTCAATGGGCGTTATGCCATGTCTGAGGCCACTGCCCACAAGTATGGTATTGACTGGGCCTCAGGCCGAGGCGTGGGCCACCCCTACCGCAGGGTTCGGATGATGCTTCGCTAGGGCTCCTTGGGAGACAGCACCCTTATCTCTTCCAGACGCTCAGCCACCTCCCCTTGGCCAACTGCCTCTGCTTCCCTGTCCACATTTTAAAATAAATCATTTTAACCCTTGAAACCCTGGTTTTCTGTAATCTCCCTTTTACTGGGAAAAAGCCCACAGGCCTTACATTTAAGCTCCAATCAGGAAGATGGAAGGGACAGCCTCCTGCGGTAGCAAGGTTTCTGTCTCTGGAGGTGTGCAAGACAAAGCTGGAGGAGATTCAAGCATCCACTGACAAGTCTCCTGAGCCCTCTGTGTCCTACAAGTGGAGAGTTTTGTGGTGGAAATTGCACAGCTTTCTCACCCTCTCTGTTGCTCCCTTGTAAGTTACCAGTTTTCCACCCCAGCCTCTGTTATGGGCCAAGCACACACTCCAGAGCTTCTTGATTATCCCATTGAGACCTGGTTTGAACCCGGGCTCAAATTAAGGCAAGCACACTTTTCTTTCATGAGCAACAGGCAATGAAGCAGAAGCCAACGAGCTAGTGTTCACCGAGCAGTTCATTTGGCCAAAGTCGTGTCGTATTAAGTGACAGCAGAAACAAATCACTAAAGGTCCTGGGTTGGGGGACTGGAGGAGTGGCTCAAGAGGTAGAGTACCTGCCTTGCAAACACAAAGCCCTGAGTTCAAACCCTGGTACAACCACACACAAAACAAGAGGAGGGTGGGGTTTTTTATTTTTTGATTGACAGAGTGGCTCAAACAGCAGAGTGCCGGCCTAAAAATCATGAGGCCCTTAGTTCAAACCCCAGTACTGCAAAGAAAAAAAAAATGCATTCAACTTGTCTATAACATCTGCATCTTTAGTCGGGCACCAGTGACTCATGCCTGTAATCCTAGCTACTCAGGAGGCAGAGATTAGGAGGATTGTGGTTCAAAGCCAGCCTAGAGAAAAAGTTTGCCAGACCCTATCTCAAAAAAAGCCATCACAAAAAAAGGGTTGGTGGAATGGCTCAAGGTATAGGCCCTGAATTCAAGCCAACTACTGCAAAATAATAAATAAATGAATAGTAAGTAGATAAGTAAATAAATAAAGTTCTGGTTTGGGATCCTGCTCTGTAATGTCGCTGACTGGATCTTGGACAAGTTACTCAACCTCTCTAAGTCCTCAGTTCCTGATTTTGGGATCCACTGAGGTTTACAACAGCTCGTTGCCTTACGCACTAATTCACACTAGAAAGTTAGGTTCTTGAGGATTTGAAGCTGGAACCTTGTTGCCAGGAAGGCTGGGGGTTGTGGGGCTCTTCTTCCAAGGGTAGGTTATGTTTGCAGGGGAAGTGCTTCTCAGGTCCTGTGTTCTGGGTAGAAGTCAAAGGTTAGCAGAGTTCTGTAGCAGGTAGAACTCTGGGGAAAGTCAGGCGTCAACCCGCACCTCAGGGCTGAAGGATTCTGATCACAGGTGTTCTGCACATCCTGAAGTCCTGAGATCCATACATTCGACAGATTTGTCAAGGCAGGGCCCCGCTTGTTCCCTGGCCCTGGCCTAGGTACACATTTTGTGAACGCCTGCAGTGAACAGTACACAGCGCACAGCGTGCACAGGGGCACAGGCTGTTCCGGAAGCGGCCAGTTTCAGAGGTTCTGGCGGGAGAGGAGGGAGGGAGAGGCTGAGTCCCCAGTCGCTGGGGAGCGGCGCTGCCCCTGGGCCGAGGGTGGAGCTTTCCCGGTCGGGAAAGGGCTGGGCCCAGCCTACTAGTTACGGCAGGACCGAGTGACGGCCGGCGCTCCCCAGAGAGGTCTGAGTGCGGATACTGCTTGCTGGATTCCCAGGAGCTCTGCTGTGACTCTGAGCCGCGGATCACCGGGTACCCCAGATTCTTGGAACCCAGTTCCGGATTTCCGATCTTCAGGACCTGACGAGTCTGAGCTCAGATTTCTTTCTGTATTGCAGATTTCTGGAACAGGACATCCGGTCTGTGACCCGATCATCAAATCCCGTAGGAGTTTCTCGGATCCCGAGATCTCTGGATCCACTGTCCCAGGCTCCTGCCCTGCTCCGGGTTCCTCGCGCCCGGCACCCCGCGCCTGAGCGCCCCCGCATGGAGGGGACGGGCCCCGGGACCGGGACCTTGGAGCGCGCCGGCAGTTGCTGGCAGGACCCGCTGGCCGAGGCGCTGAGCCGGGGCCGGCCGCTCGCCGCTGCCCCAGGACGGGGCTCTGCGCGGAGCCGGCCGCTCAGCGTGGTCTACGTGCTGACCCGGGAGCCGCAGCCCCCGGTGGAGCCTGCGGCGGGAACCCAGGCCGAGCCGCTGCCTCTGCGATGCCTGCGCGAGGCCTGCGCGCAGCTCCCCGGGCCGCGGCCGCCCCCGCAGCTGCGCAGCTTGCCCTTTGGGACCCTGGCGCTGGGCGACACCGCGGCACTGGACTTCTTCTACAACGCGGGTGCGCGCCTGGGGGCGGGGCCTAGGGTCTTGGGCGGGGCAAAGGGGTGGAGCTCGGAGACGCCAGGGATTTGAGGCGCGGATGTGTTAACCGAATTTAGGGGATCTGGAGCGTGGCTGAGCTCGAGACTGGGTTTAGGATCCAGGCCCTGCTCTGGGGTCCAAGGTTGGAGGTTTAGTAGGGGCCATGCCTAGAGAGCTAGGCGGACTTTAGAAACTCTGGTGGCGGGGCTGAGGAGGGTCAGGGCTGTGGTTCTCAGCCTGATCTGGAAAACATCCTAGCGCGGGGCAATTAAAGGCTAATCCTGGGAGCGGAGCTTGGACTAAAAAAAGGGGCGGTTGCTGTTGGGATGGGTTTAGAGGTCCTAGCATTACTACTTCCTAGGATTGAGCTAGAGAGGAGTGGGAAGCGCAGAGATACATCGGGACTCTGGGCGCGGGAGTTAAGCTTTGGAAAATGGGCGGCACTGGAAGCCCGGCAGGACGGTCTGGGGCGGGGCCAGAAGGCGATTATTCCCGCGAGGGTCACCCCTCCCTCCCTCCAACCCGATGCCCTGCCTCCATCCTTATTTGCTCACCCGAGTTCGGGAACCTGTGTTTCCTGGACGTCCATAAAATTTCAGCCTAAAAATGAAGGCTGATCCGATCACGAGGACACAAAGACACAAACAGAAAAATCGACGGACTCACAAATAGCATCCATGCTGCCTCACGCAGGCCCTTACAGACCTCAGTGATACTGTTGGATACAGTAAGCTATACGCGCTCACGTACAGGCACAGTTTTGTCTACACACACTATGGTGCAGGTCGCTTTCAAGAGACTGGGTGAAGACCCAGGAGAGGGGACTTCTGTGATTGCCCAATTCCTGCTTCCCACAGGGCCTGAAACAGGGTGGAGCAAAGCCTCACTCCGTCTCCCCTGGGTGACGTGTATGTTGCTAACAGGCACTGCAGAGTGGGATGAGGGTCCCAAGCCAATGAACCCAACTCCTCTTTTGCGACAGCACAGATAGTAGTAGTGTGACTGTGCTGGGGAACCCCAAAAGGGGGAGATAGGCCCAAAGCAGAATTGGACCTGGCTAGAGTCCCACAGCAAAGCAGGCAGAGCCAGCATCACAAGCTGGGATTTAGGGCTCAGCGCCTGCACCTCTGTACCCACAGATGTGGTGGTGCTGGAGGTGAGCAACTCCCTGGCACAGCCTTCCCTGTTCTACCACCTCGGCGTGCGGGAGAGCTTCAGCATGACTAACAACGTGCTTCTGTGCTCCCAGGCTGACCTCCCTGACCTGCAGGCCCTGCGTGTAGGTGCTCAGGTGGCTGGTGGGGGACGGGTGAGGGTTGGGATGAGGCCTACCCAGAACACCAGTATCTGACTGTCTGTCTCTTGCAGGAAGATGTGTTCCAGAAGAACTCGGTGAGCAGAACCCACTCCCTACTCCAATGTGCCCTTTGACCTCTGTCATTATCTCTGACCTCCACTAATATTCTTGGCTTCCTCAGTTACCTCTGACCTCCCTAGGGCCCCCTGACATCCATGTAACCCTCTGTTCCCTATAATCTACTTTTCTGCTATTCCAATCCTCACTGGTACTAACCCCGACCCCTCACTACCTCTCTTTAACCCTGTGATGACCTCTGACCTCCACCAATTCCTGCCTCCTTCCCACTAGGATTGTGTTGGCAGCTACACACTGATCCCCTATGTGGTGACAGCCACTGGTCGGGTGCTATGTGGTGACGCAGGCCTCCTGAGGGGCATGGCTGATGGGCTAGTACAGGCCGGGGCGGGCACTGAGGCTCTGCTCACTCCCCTGGTGGGCCGGCTTGCCCGTCTGCTGGAGGCCACACCTACGGACTCTTGGTAATGGGGGTCCACAGGAAGGGAGTTCTAGGAGGAGGCTGGTGAGGGTACAGTGGCATGGGACCGAGGGACAGGCCCACCATCCTCTCCTTCTCCCTCCCTTGGCCTGGGCATCAGTGGCTATTTTCGGGAGACCATTCGGCAGGACATCCGGCAGGCTCGGGAGCGGTTCAGTGGGCAGCGGCTGCGACAGGAGCTGGCTCGCCTGCAGCGGAGACTGGACAGCGTGGAGCTGCTCACCCCAGATATCATCATGAACCTGCTTCTGTCCTACCGTGATGTGCAGGTGGGCAGCATCCAGACACACAGTCAATGAAGCATTTGTTGCCAGACAAAGCCAAGTTGAGCTCGGGCAGTGCCACTTGCTCACGGATGACTTTGAGCAAATCATCTAACCTCTCTGAGCCTCAGTTTCCTTATTCGAAATAGGGGATGATAATGTCACTGCCTCCCAGGGCAGTTGTGAGGTTGGGAACACCCAGCATGGAGCACAGAGTGGCTTCTCCATGTAAGGTGTGGTGTGTACCTGCGGGGCCTGATGGAGGTGTGCAGAGTCTGGGGGGAAGGGTGTCAGGTGTGGGACAGGAGCCCTGCTCAGGGGTTTCCTCCAGGTTGGGGGCTCCTCATGCTGGCTCCCTCACACAGGACTACTCAGCTATCATTGATTTGGTGGAGACACTACAGGCCTTGCCCACCTGTGATGTGGCCGAGCAGCACAACGTCTGCTTCCACTACACCTTTGCCCTCAACCGGTGAGTGGCGGAACAAGGCTTGAGTCAGAGCCACAGGGATCTCTGTGCCCTGGGTCCCTGCTATGCAAGATCACTGCTGACTGGATCATTGCTCTTCAGGAAATTTGCTGACCTGGGTTCTGATGTGAAAAAGTCCCTTTTGCTCTGGGTTTCTGCTGTCTGGTGGGGGCAGGGGACAGGTGATCTGGTGTGGTCCCAGATCACTGCTGTCCTTAGGGTCTCTACCAGTAGAGAGGTCAATGCTGACCAGGGTATCATTTGGAGGTCATTATTGTCCTGCTTTTCAAGGCCTAGGGATCTCTGGTCATGGCCATCACTTCCCCTTGCCCTTAGGAGGAACAGGCCTGGGGACCGGGAGAAAGCACTGGCTGTTCTGCTGCCACTGGTCCAGGTTGAGGGCCCTGTGGCACCAGATCTGTACTGCATGTGTGGCCGTGTCTACAAGGACATGTTCTTCAGCTCTGGCTTCCAGGATTCTGGACACCTGGAGCAGGCCTATCACTGGTAAGGGGCACAGGAGAGTGGATAGAGGGCTGAGCTGGTGGGATAAGGGACGGGCTGTGGGCACACATTCAAACCTGTGCCCCTTCACCTCAGGTATCGCAAAGCCTTTGACATGGAGCCCAGTCTACACTCTGGTATCAATGCAGCCGTCCTCCTCATCGCAGTCGGGCAGCACTTCGAGGATTCCGAGGAGCTCCAACTGATAGGTGAGCCAGCTCCCAGTCACTGTCCCCAGAGGGACCTGGGGAGAGAGCGGGGAGAGAAAACCCTGGGGTTTTCTCAGCTAGGGCCGAGTTCATCCTTTTAGCACCGTTCTACCTTTACCCACACTGGGGTCTTCCTCATACGTGTCCTGGGCCCTCAAGCCACCACTGTTCCCAAGCTCACACTCATGTTCATTACACACTGAACTCCACATCTGTTTGTGTCCAAACTCTCACCTGTGCCTGGGCTCCTACTCCCACCATACCTAACTTTTTATACATATCTATATTCCTGGCCAGTTTGGGCCTTATCCACACCTGCACCCACATTCACTGGAGCTCATGCCCCTCTTCCCCAGGCATGAAGCTTGGCTGCCTGCTGGCCCGCAAAGGCTGCGTGGAGAAAATGCAGTATTACTGGGATGTAGGTTTCTACCTGGGAGCCCAGATCCTTGCCAATGATCCCATCCAGGTCGTGCTGGCTGCAGAACAGCTGTACAAGCTCAATGCCCCCATCTGGTAGGTGCCCCCTTCTATATTACTGGCCTGGCCTGGGCTATTGGCTCTCGCATCCCTGTTGGCACTCTAGCCTGAACCCCAAGCCATGACCCCCTCTTTCAGACCAGGGTGCATGGCACACCCAATGCCCACATTCTGGCTACATCCAGCCTGGCAGTGGCAGCGGGTTCCTAGGCTGAGCTGAGGACAAGGCTGTGCCTACAGGTACCTGGTGTCGGTGATGGAAACCTTCTTGCTCTACCAGCACTTCAGACCCACACCACAGCCTTCTGGAGGACCCTTGCTTCGAGCTCACTTTTGGCTCCACTTCTTGCTACAATCCTGCCAGCCTTTCAACACAGCCTCTCCTCAGGGGAACCAGTGCCTGGTGAGACCAGTGAGAGTGGGGGACCTGGAAAAGCAGTGAGCTCTTCCTGACCATCCGCTCTCCTCCACTGCTCATAGGTGCTGATCCTGGAGATGAACAAAGTGTTGCTGCCTGCAAGGCTTGAGGTTCAGGGTACAGGTGTGGTGAGCACAGTGACCCTAAGCCTGCTGGAGCCTGAAACCCAGGTGCACCACCACTGAGTCCCTCACTCACCGCTATGCACCTCTTCTGTCCAGCCTTTCTCCCTCTCCTGTCTTAGCAGCCCAGTCAAACACCCTTTCTTCTCACAGGATGAATCCTTCAGCTGGACCTTCCCAGTTGCCTCTATCTGCGGTGTCAGGTGAGGGTGAGACTTGTGGGCTGCTCAGCTAGACACTGCCCACAGGCCAGGAACTCACTGGCTCACGGACTTCTCCATCCTTCCCCAGTGCCTCCAAGCGGGATGAGCGCTGCTGCTTCCTTTATGCGCTTCCTCCTGCCCAGGACGTCCAGTTGTGCTTCCCCAGTATAGAGCGGTGCCAGTGGTGAGCTCAGCCTTTCGGGGTTCGGGTACTGGGGTGTGGGGGGCGTTTGAGGGAAAAGAAGGGATGACGTCCCTGTCCCTGGGATCCTATCCAAGGTGCCTCTTCGCGGGCCTGACCTCCCCTGCTCCTTCAGGTTCTGTGGCCTGATCCAGGCCCTGGTGACAAATCCAGATCCTACGGGGCCCACGGAGGAGGTGGAGGGCGTAAGGGAGGTGCTGGAGGTGAGGATGTAGGAGGGGCTAAGTTCTGGGACGGGGGTCCGGGAGGGCAGAAGGCTGCAGGCTCTGCTGAACCCGGTCACCCCACGCCCCACAGTTTGATTATGAATACGCGGAGACCGGTGAGCGGCTGGTGCTGGGCAAGGGCACGTACGGGGTGGTGTACGCAGGCCGTGATCGGCACACGAAAGTACGCATCGCCATCAAGGAGATACCAGAGCGCGACAGCAGGTGCGGTGCCATGTGGGTCCCGTAGGGGCTCACGAGGGTGGTGTCAGCAGGTCGAGTGGGAGGGACCTAAGTCGAGAGCCTCCTATGGCGGGCTGTGGGCGCGGAAAGGCAGGTGCCTAGTGGTTGGTGCCGAGTGGAAGGGCTCCCGAGCCCGGAAAGGTCCAATTCTATGGACTGTGGATTGGGGTCTGTAGGGTCTGTGAGGGAGGGGCTGCGTCTGGAGAGGACTATGGACAGAGCATATGGGTGGGGAAGGTTGGAGAAAGACTTGTGGATGGGGCGGATCCTAGGGGCGTGGTCTGGCTGGTGCAGGATGAGCATGTGCGCCCAAATCTATCCATTCCTCTACCTCCCCCGCCTGCCCCCCGCAAGGTTCTCTCAGCCCCTCCATGAAGAGATTGCTCTCCACAAACGCCTGCGCCACAAGAACATCGTGCGCTATCTGGGTTCAGCCAGCCAGGGCGGCTACCTCAAGATCTTCATGGAGGAAGTGCCTGGAGGTACCAGCTCTGCGTGGGATGGGAGTGAAACCTGAGGCGTGGGGAATGGGAATGCAGGCAGGCAGAGGTGGAGAACTCCAGGGGGAAAGGAACCCTAGCATGTGTGGGTGGTGTCACCTAGAATTAGCTGATGGAGTGGGTTTAATGATGGAGTCCCGGCCATGGCATGGGTGTGTCAAGGCTTTGAGCAGAAAGATGTGGGTGGAATAAATAGGTGCCAAGGATGAACTTGAACTGTATCTTCCCAGGCAGCCTTTCCTCCTTGCTTCGGTCAGTGTGGGGACCCTTGAAGGACAATGAGAGCACTATTAGTTTCTACACCCGTCAGATCCTTCAAGGACTCAGCTACCTACATGATAACCGAATTGTGCACCGGGACATCAAGGTCAGTCCTGTGGCTAGTGTGACTGGCCTGCTGGGGGTGGGGAGACAGAGTCCCAGACAGAGACTGGCATTTCGATCAAGAGGGTGGATGCTTTGTAAAGTGCCGGGAATTCCTTAGAGAGGAGAAATTTAGGTCTGAAACCAAATCAGACATCAGCTCCCAGAGGAACATACAAGTGGGAAGGCAGGGGGAGGACACTGATAGAGGCTGGACCAGGCTGGGGTCCCCAAGAGATGAGCTTCCAGGATGGAGGTTCAGCTCTGTGTCAGGGGCCAGCCCAGTGTCCACAAAACACAACATCCATTTCAATCAGGGGGACAATGTACTGATCAACACCTTCAGTGGGCTGCTCAAGATTTCTGACTTCGGCACCTCCAAGCGGCTGGCAGGCATCACACCCTGTACTGAGACCTTCACAGGTAACAGGGTGTGTGTATCATGAGTGAGGACTTAGAACTCTTGGAGCCTGCTAGGGAATGGGGTTTGTCCTGGGCACAGAACTATAGTCCTATTGGGAGATAGAACCCAGGGCAGTTGATTGGGCCAGGCTTGAGGTGATAAAATTTAGAATTGGAGCTTAGATGACTGATTAAACTGAGTTTATATCTAAAATGGAGCCCAGGAGTGTTGATGCAGGCCAAGATAGGTGTTGGGGGCCAAAGTAGGTGATAGAATTCAGGAGAACGTCAGATATATGATGAACCCTTCCTGTGGGTGATGGAGTCCATGAAGGCGATGGAGCCTAGCATGAACGATAGAAGCTTTGGCAGGTGATGGAGGCCTAGGGTGGGTGATAAAACTCAGGATCGATGTCTGATGACTAAGGTAGGGGATTAGAAATATTTTGAATGGTAGGCTCAGCATGGGTGCAGGTGGTCAGAAGATGATGGAGTCCCTAGATCAACATTGTCCATCTGCTCCTATCCTAGGGACTCTGCAGTATATGGCCCCAGAAATCATTGATCAGGGTCCACGAGGGTATGGGAAGGCAGCTGACATCTGGTCACTGGGCTGCACTGTGATTGAGATGGCCACAGGTCGCCCTCCCTTCCATGAGCTAGGAAGCCCACAGGCTGCCATGTTTCAGGTGAGACCCTTTCAGGGAGTGGCCCATGAAGGTTGGTTGGGGCCAGACTGGGCCTTAAACACCTCTAATCTTGATTCTTGTTTTCCCTCCCTGTCTCCCCTCTCTAGGTGGGCATGTACAAGGTGCACCCACCAATGCCCAGTTCTCTGTCAGCTGAGGCCCAAGCCTTCCTGCTCCGAACTTTTGAGCCTGATCCTTGTCTCCGAGCCAGTGCCCAAGAGCTGCTTGGGGACTCCTTCCTGCAACCTGGGAAGAGGAGCCGCAGCCCTGGCTCTCCTCGTCACACTCCTAAGCCCTCAGGTGCTGTGGGGGTGGAGGGAGTGAGCACCACTGAGGGGTACAGGAGGTGTGTATCTGAGGCAGCTAACAGCTTGTCCCTCCCTCAGATGCTCCTTCAGCTGGTCCTACTACTTCAGCTGACTCAGCCACCCAGTCCCAGACATTCCCGCAGCCTCAGACACCCTCTCAGCACCCACCTAGTCCCCCAAAGCGCTGCCTCAGTTATGGGGACACCAGCCATCTCCGGTGAGAACCTAGGGTCTTGGATTAAGTTCCCTTTGCCTGGTTCTGCCTTTGTACTCCCTCCCAGAAAGAGCCCTCCTTGGGGCCTGGGCACCTTGACCACTTACTTACAAGGTTGGCATCTGGTGCCTATCAGCCCTCTTCCCAGGTGCCTTAACTTGTATTTATTGTGCACACTCTCCGCTGTTGGGTTTATTTTCATTATCCGTGTGAGACAGGCATAAAAGTAAAAGAGTCGGGATTAAAACCCGGATGTTGCCCACTCTCCATTAGTCACTCCCCATTTCACCCAAGGGTACCCGAGGAGCCCGGGGCCGAGGAGCCCGCGTCCCCGGAGGAGAGTTCGGGACTGAGCCTGCTGCACCAGGAGAGCAAGCGCCGGGCCATGCTGTCTGCGGTACTGGAGCAGGAACTGCCCACGCTGGCAGAGAATCTGCGCCTGGAGCAGGAGCAGGTGGACGGCCCGCCCCAGCGCCCCCTGGTGGCGGAGCATGAACAGGCCCACCAGCATCTTTCTTGGCTCGCATGGAAACACCCGCTGACGACCCCTTCTCTCTTTCCCAGGGTTCCCGCCTGAGCAGGGATCATGTGGAACAGCTGCTGCGCTGCCTCGGGGCGCACATCCACACTCCCAACCGCCGGCAGCTGGCCCAGGAGCTGCGGGCGCTGCAAGCGCAGCTGCGGGCCCAGGGCCTTGAGCCTACTCTTCTGAATGGGCCGCTCTTCGCCTTCCCAGATGCGGTGAGGGAGCTTCCCCGCAGTTAGGGCTGCCCAGTAACAGTAGTGAGAAAATGTGCAGGGACTCACCGTTCCAGGATTTCACGTCTCCACGAGGACGCATGTCTGCCCAGTCCTAGCTTCTCAGACCCCTCTCTTAACCCCGAGCCCGTCAACCTCGTTTGCCCGGGGCAGACTTTCTAGACCTTTCCAAAGCAAGTCCCATCTCTGAGACTCAGCTGTCTCAGCCGCGCCCTCCCTCCCTCTCCAGGTGAAGCAGATCCTCCGCAGGCGTCAGATCCGCCCACACTGGATGTTCGTGTTGGACTCGCTGCTTAGCCGTGCAGTACGAGCTGCCCTGGCAGTGCTGGACCCGGGTAGGATGGGACTGGAGCCAGCCAGCTGCAGGCGAGGGTGTGGCCCTTGGGGGCGTGGCGAATACAGAATGGGGCCCAGCTCACCAAGGAGGGAAGGAGCCCTTGGGGAAGTGACTAAATAGATATCTCTCAGAGTGGCCCCACTTGATCACTGCCCTCAGCCGGGTTGGGAGTCCCAAAGGGCTGTCTTCCCTGCTGAGCTCACCCCAATCGGATTGGCAGCGGTGGAAAAGAAGGCGGTATCTCCGAAGTCTGAGGAATTGAGTAAAGAAGGGGTGTCCCAGCAGAAGCAGCAGGAAACTCCGATTCCACAGAGCCCACTTCCGGGAGAACTGGAGCAGGGGCCCCCGCCTCTGATAGTGCAGCTGGGCCTCTTGAGAGCAGAGACTGACAGGTAAAGCCCCTCCAAACCGCCCAGATTGCACAGGCAATCAAACTACTGCCACTCCATTGTACTCTTTTGTCCTCCAACAGGCTTCGGGATATCCTGGCAGAAAAGGAACGTGAGTGCCAGGCCCTGGTGCACCAAGCTCTACAGCGGGTAAATGCTGAGGCCAGGACCTACACCCTGGCTTCAGATAACCCAGGTGAGAGGATCTGGTTGCAGGACACTAGTGGTGGGTCTGAGGCAGCCTCTGGCAGGAAGCACTTCCAGGCTCATCACCTGACTTCTTGACAGCCACACTCTCAAAGGACCAGGACCTGGTGCAGTGGCTACAGGAATTAAGTGTGGATGCAGGTACCATCCAAACGGTGAGGATGAGCAGGTTGGCTAGCCCTTACCTCACCAACAAAGACTCCATCTCTGTCCACCTTCAGCTCTCCTCACTTTTCCCTCTGATGCAGACTCTCAAAATTGCAAATAGCTTCTCCATTATTCAGACGGAAAAACTGATCTGCCTTAGCGTTTTGGTAGCAGGAAACTAGTACCTGGACCTCTGCTCACGTTGTTCTGTCACTGTCTCTCCCTCTTTTTGTGGGTTGTTATCCACAACCAGCTGCTGAGCCATAGCTTCACCCTCCATGCCCTGCTCACCTGTGCCACTCGAGACGACCTCCTCTACACCCGCATCAGGTACTCCTGGGCCCTCCAGGAATGAACCACGCCCACAGCCTCATGCTGGCCAGCTCCTGACCCCCAGCTTCAGGCCTGCCTAGGTTACTCCCTGGAAACCACAAGAACACCAACGTCCTCTGGGAACAGAGGAATATTGGGCAAACAGTGGTTACCAGGGAGAGCCTGGGCCTTCTTCTGGCTGAACCACATTGAGCCCACTGTCCCCAGGGGAGGGATGGTATGCCGAATCTGGAGGGCCATCTTGGCACAGCGAGCAGGATCCAAGCCAGTTACCCCGGACCCCAAGAGGCTGAATGAGAACATCAGAAGCAGGAGAGTCCCATGACAGATGACTGGTGAAGACAAAAGCAGCTTCTGATATACATGCCCCAGGATCCAGGAGCAACTGTAGGAGGCCAGACAGGTGGGGCCAGGGTAAGACCCAGGCCTCATTCCAGTAGGGAAAACCAAATACACACGGTGCCCAAGCACACCAAGTATGACCAATTTTTTTTTTTTTTTGTATGTGTGCTGGGGACTGAACCCAGGGCCTCAAGCTGGCTAGGCATGTACTCTGCAATCCCCAACCCCAAAATCCAAACTTTTTCTTTTCTGGCCATGCTGGGGATTGAACCCAATTTGTCTACCACTTGAGCCATTTTCCCAGTCTTTATGTTTGTATTTTGTTTTTGAGATAGGGTCTCACTGCTAACGTTTGCCCAGGCTGGCCCTGAACTCTGGATCCTTCTGATTTCACCTCCCAAGTAGCTAGGATCACAGACATGAGCCACCACACCCAGCCCTTACCAAAAACTATTAAACAGAACATTTTTGTATCCATGTTTGTCTTGGCAACTTCATAAGCGTGGGGGGTGGGGTATCCAAAGAGCAGTCCCTTGAGGTCATTGTGTCTCAGTCTGAAGTTCCTTAATTTTGTCCCTTTCACTCTCCCACTCTTTCCTTCTAACATCTTACCTCTCTGCCCACCCCCCTCGGGTCTCCCCCTTCCCCACAGCAGACATCAACCTCTTATTGCCTAGTAACAGGTTTTATTGACTTTAGCCAAGGGCAGTTCTGGGATGGGGATCCACAGAGGGTTTTGGTAGACCTATGCCCTGGGGACCAAGTTGGTTCTGATGGGCAGAAGGCCATCCACCCACTCACATGGCCGCTCCAGGAGTGTCTGCCACAGCTGCTTCTCCTCAGGTGTAGAGTCCATCCAGGGCACCTGTAGCCCGTAGCTGCTGCCTGAATGTGGGTGTACAGAGGTGGAAGGCCTGGTCATCTTGAACACTTCAGGTCCCAAGAAAACCTGCCTGGCCCCAGATTATGCACTATGCCTAGTCACCCCCAATTCTCTGTGGACAGAGCTCAGGAAAGGGGAGAGAAATAGTCAAGGCTATGCACTGAGCCCCCTGCCTCCCAGCTCAGCTCCCTCCAGGCCTATGCTGTGCTTACCAGTACCCAGGCTGAGGCGTGTGCCCCCCAGCTGGCGGCTGGCCAGGGCTCCGTGGTCCCAGAGGGAGAGCTCAGCACAGGCCTGGCGCAGATCGGCAGGACCAAAACCATCGTAAACCATAGTGTGGTTGAACACAGGACTACGGCTGCGTCGAACCACTCTTGTACGTTGGCGACTGGCCCGGCTGTCATCAGGCAGCACTGAGCTGTTTGGAAGGGGGGCTGGCATCAGATGACCACCTTCTCACACTCCCTAGAGCCAGCCAGTCACTGAGTCCTGCCCATTTTCCCTCACCTATGTCCATGTATCCTGACTCCTGCCCAAGACCTGGGCTCTAGCCCTCACTGCCGTTACCTTTACACCAGCCTCCTCTCAGCTCTCTTGCCTTGAAATTTACAGCTGTTCAGAATCCCTGAGTGATGTCTGCAATACTGTTACTCCCTGCCTCAGTGACCTTCACTGGCTCCCTGTTACCCTGATCCCCCAGTTTCCAAAGTTTCAAAGCTTCAGAATGCTTCCTGCAAAATAAAATTTTGTTCTGAAGTATAGTAATTGAAAGAAAAACAGGAAGGGAACCCAAAATCTAATAGGCTGTCATTCATTTCACTGTCTGAGGTAGGGAAGCACCTGGAGGCATCCCTAGACTTTACTTTGAAAATTACTGGGGCCAGGATGTAGCTCAGTGGTAGAGAACTTGCTTATGGTGTGGGGGGTGAGGGGAGAAACAAAACAAAAACGACTGAGCTACAAGTTAAGGGCCAAGCCCTACAGGCTGGCCTTCCAGGTTGCTCATGACAGTCGCTCTGGTCTCTTGGTCCCATTCAGTGCCAGCCTGACTTCCCAGTAATTCCTATAGACACCAGTCATCCAAAGGCGTTCTCAACTTCCCGGACTCCAGGTCTTGGCCCCAGCGTCCCCTTCACCCCTGCTCAGAGATTAAAGGCAGGCTTGGGTGATGAGCGGTGGAGGGCTGGGGGTGGTCCGAGATTGGGAGCAGAAGGGAGGGAGGCAGCGAAGCCGCAGTGCCCCTCACCATTGTATGTAAGTGTCCAGGGACCCTGAGCGCAGCGGCACGAGGTCCTGGGCTTCCTTCACCCAGAAGTGCAGCTCCCCACTCTGAGGCTGTCCCGCACCTGCGGAGACACTTGGCTCAGGCTACCTCCTCCCAAGGCCCGTCTAGTTTAGCCTCTCGAGGGGCGGTCACTCACCCTCGGAGCCGGCAGGGACGTACTTAAGGGACAGGGAGAGCAGTCCGCGGCTGGGAAGCTCATCAGGAGAGGAGGGGACCTGCGAGAGCCGAGATGGGCTTGTCAGCGGGCGGGGCCAGGGCCAAGGGAAGGGGCCGCAGAGGGGTGGTGTTTCTGGCCACCAATGAGGTGTGGTTAGCGGGGAGGGCGGGGCCTGGGTAGATGGCGGGAGAGATGAGCGCCCCCCAGGAAGAAGCCGAGGAAGGCCAGCCTTCACCTGGGATGCAGGGGTGCTAGGCAGAGGGAGGGCTCTGTCCAAGGCTGGATCCAAGCGGGCTGCGGTAAAGGCTGGAGATCTGTGTCGCGGGTGACCCTACCCGGCCCGGCCTCCTTACCCGGGGCTGCAGGGGGAGCCAGGTGGCCTCTGAGTCCCAGTTCCATGTGTCCAAGGGCACTTCGACTTCGCCCAGAAAGATGTTGCGGCCCAGACTTTCGCGGTGCCACACGGACAGGCTCAGCACGCGGCCCGGGAGCTCGGCCTGCGGGACGGAGTACTGGGGACAGGAGGTGCGCTTTAGTGGGGCACCGCTGGTGGCCCTGGCGTCGGTGCTGTGTGAATGTTGACCGGAGCAGGTCCTACCACGCTCCTTGCAGGATGGCATCCTGGGGAGCCCCGAAGGGCATTAATGGGGGGGTCTGGACTGTCACCACGCCCACCGCAAACTGCCGCACTGCGAAACGCGCTAACTGGGGCCTTCCTGCCGTGCCCCCGGCAGAATGCAGGATTGCAGGCATGGGCAAGGTGGAAACTGGAGGGCCCTGCCATCCCGCCCCTCAGGAAGCGGCGCCCTATTCTTTCCCAGGGGACCGTCTGCTCGCCGTAGCCTCACCCGGAGAGTTTCGTTGAAGACCGGATTCAGATTCCGTTTTTTTACTGCGGTCTTGCGCTTGCTCTGCTTATCCGGGAGGAGGTAGCTTTTGACATAGCTGGGCCGAGAGACAAGAGGGTCAGAGGTAACGAGGGGCTCTTGCAGAGCCTTCTCTCCCCTGGAGGCTTCCCCAGCGACCTTCCAGAGCTTCCTCCTAATTTACAGAAATGATCTCACTTAATCCCCTCCCAATAACGGTGCCATTTCCATTTGAAGACCAGGAAACAGGCTCAGGAAAGTTGAGCTGTGGCTGGGTTATGAGGCGCCCTCCCGCGCCGTCCCTGCGGCCAGCCTGGCCCCGCGGGGCACTCACGGGTCTGAGCGGCGCCGGCGGGCGGTGGCCAGGCCCTGGCACTGGATCACGTGCACGCGCAGCTCAGCGGCGCCCGGCTCGTAGCGCAGCGCGAAGTGCACTGAGCCGCGCACCTGCACCACGCCGGCCTCGGCCTCCCCGGCCAGGCTCATCTGACTGCCGCTTAGCTGTGGTGGACAGGGGAGGGACGTCAGGGCGGAGATGCTGGGCTCACGTCGGGGCTGGGGGGGTGGGGCGCGGGGGGGTTTATACTGGGCATGAAAGGAAAGCGAGGAAAGGATAAAGGGCACCTCGAGGGGGCTTGCCGGGGCGCTGGGGCATCGGGTCCTGGAGCGAGTGAGGGATCAGGCAGGGGCTAGGTGTCGGGATAGGGATGGGAAGCACGCCCCCCCCCCACCGCCGCCCCGTCCTTTCCCTCACTCCTCACCGTGGAGGAGTTGAGGCTGGACACCGAGGAACTGCTGCTGAGCATGCGGTTGAGTGAGGGACCATGGCCCAGGGCCTCCTCTCCGTTCTCCAGGATCTCGGATGCCACCTCCGTCTGGAAAGGGGAGAAGTGACGGGGACGGCCCCTCTTTCCCCGCCCCTCCCCAGACAACTCATGTGGTGATAGCTCACAGCCCCCGCAGGAGCACTCCGGGCAGAGAATCCGCTCCGGGTCTTCAGAGCAGCCGCGGGCGGCTCCCGCCTACCTGGGCTGGCGCGGGCCAAGGCTCCTTCCCTGCCCCCGGCGCGGGCTTCGGCTCCGGGTCCGCCTCCGTGTCCACCTGTACAGCCCCTGAGCCGGGGGCTGGAGTGGGGCACTAGCTGCTGAGCGAGTCCCTCGCCTATGTGCCCCTGAGCAAAGCTGGAGGGACTGGCTTACAGTCCCAGTGTTGGCCTGGGGTCGCCCGGGAGCCACGCGGGTCCCCAACAAGGGAGAAGGAAGGGAACGTGGGTTGAGGTCACTGAGTTCCCTCTGAACCCCGCAACCTCTCTGTGCCCTCCAACACTCGCTCCCACTCACCTCCCTGCGCCTGGGGCTCCTCCTGATCTGAAGCATTTGGGGGAGCATATGGTGTGGGGAAATCAGGTTCCTGAAGAAAGCAAGGGGTGGAGGTCGCAGTGGGGGACTGATGAGGAAAGGGTCAGGGGTCATGCTAGGGTCATAGGTCAGGGACTCCAGCCTGGTTACTCCAGCTTCAGATGTAGGGCAGCCCTCAGGGAAGGGCTGGCACCCAGCTGCAGGACCAGTTGGGCCTGTCCTTCACACCCAGGACCTGCCCCTCCTGATGGACTGGACTGACTCCCAGGCTTCTCGGGTGGGGGCAGTAGTAGCTAAGTCCTCAGTATCACCCATTCTTAAAAGCTGGATTTGGAAGTTCCCTCAGAGAGGTCAGGTCCATGCTACCATTTGACCAAGGAGAATGCTGAGGCCCAGAGCAGGGTCTCCTGATCCCCAGCATATTCACCCCCATTGGGACACTGTGCACTCATTAGCTCAGTCATTCCATACTCACCTGAGTCTCATCATGCCTCTCTTGAGTGGCCTTTTCAATGGGGAGCCTAGGAGGAGGGACCCATGGTTTTTAGGGGAAGGGACTGGGTAACCAGCATTGCCTGCCCTCTCCCTGGTGCCTCCTCAACCTGGGCTCTGGCTCCTCTTCAGTTGCTTTTTCAGCAGCCTCAGCCTCTCCATCACTGCTCAGAGCTTGGTCTCCTGAATCCAGGTGAGAAGTTCTGTGAGCCTCCATTCTCAGAAAGTCTGACTGTGACCCACAGGAGAGGCTCTTGGGGATGACCCCACACCCCAGCTTACAGGGGGCAGTGAGCTTTCAAAGTTACAGTATGGGGACTGCCAGGCCTAGAGTCCAGGGCTCTCTCCTTGTCTACATACAGCCAGCACCCTGGATTGCACAAGGCTTGCCCTCCCTGCTATGGAGCCTCCTCTTACCCCTGGAGCTCTTCTTCCTGCGAATAGAAGCTCGGACAAGGTCAGAACCGAAGTGGGTGTGGTGGTGCCGTTGGGAGCGTGCTTCCTGGAACCAGTCCCCTGTCCGGATCTTCAGCTGCCCAGGATCTGCCAGCGAGGCTCGGAGCTTGCTGTTGGACAGGGGAGGGCATGGCTGTTGCTAGCCACCAACGTTACTGCACCCCCTCTGAGCCAACTCTGTACCAAGGACCAGGGACTCAACAGCAAATTAGACTTGTCCCCTGCTCTGTAGAATTTCAGGCTGCTGGAGAGACAGAATCCCAAATATTCAATGGTGCAGTGATAGATTTAAGAAAGGCCAGCTCTGTCTGTGAGAATCTAGGAGGGTTTCCCAGAGGAGACAACATTTGAGTTGCTTCTTAAAGGACAAGTTGGAGCTGGGTACCGGTGGTTCATGTCTGTAATCTTAGCTGCTCAGAAGGCAGAGACCAGGAGGATCACAGTTAGAAGCCAGCTCAGGCAAATAGTTTGAGAGACCCTATCTCAAAAAAACTTATCACCCAAAAAGGGCTGGTAGAGTGACTCAAGGTGTAGGCCCTTAGTTCAAACCCCAATACCTAAAAAAAAAAAAAAAAAGGACAAATTAAATTAGAATTCCCCAGAGAGACAATTGTTATTCTGTGAACTATGCTTGCATAATCCCTTTTTAAATTTTATTTATTTATTTATCTTTTTGGAGGTTTGTGTATTACCAGGTTCGACCTTTGGGTTTTTTTGTTAGGCAGGTGCTCTACCACTTGAGCCATTCCGCCAGCCCCCTCTTAATTCTTAGGAATCTTTAGCCCTATTTTAGCTGAGGAAAGTAGTGCTCACAGTCAGGTAAGTTGTCCAAGCTTCCATAGCTAGTAAATATGTTTCCTCAAACACTGCTTGTTACTCCTGGGCTCCTGTGCCGCTGCTCTTTTGGGAAGGACAGCTTAGGCTTGGATATAAGGCTGTATTTAGCACCCATGTGACTATAGTAGATACTGGGTGGAGCTTGTGGGGAAAGATGAGATGGGGGTGGCTGCCAGGGGCCAATCAGGGAGCTTGTGAACCACACTTCAGGAGCTTGCCCTGGACACTAAGTGCCAAGGGAGGTTTCAGCAGGATATTAAGGACAGGTGGTGTCCTGTCCACCAAGGCGTCCTTTCCCAAGGTGAGTGCCCAGAGGAGACAAGTTTGGAGGTAGGGAGAATGGAGAGGGAGTGGGTACAGTCACCCCAGGAGAGGTGATGAGCTCTGAGCTGGCCAAGGGCAGAGAGGACCAAACAGCAAAATGAAGAGGCACTCAAACATCTGATAGGCAGTGTATTGGTAGGAGGGTGGTAGTACCAAGCCTCTGGGGGCCTGGGGTCCCTTCCACCTGTCCTGTGTCTGCCCCATCTCACCTGACCCGCCCCTCTTCCAGCTGGCGCAGGTGGGCATCTCGTTTGAGGACATTGGCAATGGCCTCCTGTTCCTCTTCTGTCAAAAAACTGAGGTCCAGCAGTCCCTCGGCCTCAGGTTCTGGCCCATGTGCCATGGGGAGGGAGGGCAGGGCCCAAAGCCTCTCCTGAGATGGGTGGCCCCTCTGGGGCATCAGCTAGGGCCGTGCCTCAGCTGGGCACACGTGGCTTCCTGGGGGAGACCAAGGGCCAGATCAATCTCTTCTCAAATACACAGCACACCCAGAGCTACTGACCAACATATGCCCCAACGTATCCCTAGGTCGTACAACCCCAGGAAGGCTAAGGTCAGGGTAAGATGTGGCATGTTCATGGCCCACGAACACACTCAAAGAAGTGTGTGGAGATACACATTCACACATTGTGAGGTGAACCACAAGATGGCACACACAGATGTGCACACACTGATCCATGCAGGAATAAATGCCCATTGTCACCTGCTTACACTGATACCTGCATAAAGACAGGCACACAGGGAGGTATGGCTCAAGCAGTAGAGCACCTGCTTTGCAAATGTGAAACCCTGAGTTCAAACCCCACTACCACTTAAAAAAAAAAAAAAGCCCACTTCTTGCATCTGCACCCCATGAATAGAGCTGGTCAGAACAGGTAAAGACCCACTCCAAGGGCTGTGCACAGTCATCCTTAAGCCTGCACACAGAATGTGCACACTAAGACAGGGACCCAGCCATTAGGTTCACCCATATAAGAATAAGTCTGGGAGCTAGATATCAGTGGCTCACACATGTAATCCTAACTTCTTGGAAGGCTGAGATTGTGAGGATTGCAGTTAGAGGCCAGACTGGGCAAATAGTTCACAAGAACCCCATCTCCAAAATAACCAGAGCAAAATGGACTAGAGATGTAGCTCAAGTGGTAGAGGGCCTGCTTTGCAAGCATGAAGCCTTGAGTTCAAACCCCAATCCCACCTAAAAAACAAAAACAAAGCCAGGTGCCAGTGGCTCACACCTAGAAACCTAGCTACCCAGGAGGCAGAGATCAGGAGGATTGAGGTTCCAAGTCAGCCTGGGGAACTAGTTCTCCAGACCCTATCTCGAAAAAAAACATCACAAAAAAGGGCTGGTGGAGTGGCTCAAGGTGTAGGCCCTGAGTTCAAGCCCTGGTACCATAAACAAAACAAAAGAAAAACAACAACAAAAACACTCTGGGGACAAATACATGTCCCTGGATTTGCACAAATCTCCAAGACGTTCCCCCCACCCCATTGCCCATTTAACTGGGTTATGAGTTCCTTGAAGCCTGAGACAGGTCAAGCCCCTAAAAGCCAGTACTTTGGACACAACTGCTGGGGGTGGCACACACCCCTCTGCTCACCCTTCTGTCTGGGGTGCCTCCCAACCCGGTCCACTACTGCTCCCTTCACCACCCTGCCCTGGCCCATTTGGCCTTCCTGTCTGAAGCAACTTCCTCCCCTCTGACAAAGTAACCACAGCACCCACTCCCACTTATGCTGCCAGCCCTGGGATGCCCCTGTTGCAAACTCTGCCCTCCAGCCTCTAGCTCCTGGGCCTGTGCTCTGGTCACATGGCTCCCCTACAAGAAGACCTGGCTGGAATCCTTGGCTGCCGAGAGGCAGCTTGTGCCCAGGCACTAGGGACTCCGGAAAGAAAACATTTGCCACCCAAGAGGGGGGTGTGGACGTGGCACGGGGCCCAGCACTCAGTGGTGGCCACAGCCTGAGCCCACTGAGTGGTTTGTCCTTCCTTCCCCACCCCCTCCTTGCTAGGGTTCCTGGTGCAGCTGAGGTGGGAAGAGGGCAGCACGTCCTGGCTTGTGCCCACTGCCTCCTGAGCCCTGTCCCCTCCCAGCTGAGTCAGTGTCCAAGCTGAATTAGTGTCTCTCTCCTGCTGCCCTGTGGAAGAGCCTGGGACTTCTGCATGCCTGTACCTGCATAACCCTGTGGAAATTTCTGTGTGCTCAACAGTGAAGTTTCTCTGAACTGCTGCGCCTAAGGAGCTGGCTGTCGTACACACCATTTTGGGCTCTTCTATGGTGTGTTGAGCACTTATCTTGTTAGGTTGAGTCCAGTATGATGGCATGTCTGCATGCTCAGGCTCCATAAGCCTATGTGGCTAGTGTGTGTTGTGTGCCGTGTCACAGTGATGCGAGCAGCTGACTAGAATGTGCTGTGTTCAGAGGGTGACAGTGGCAAATGGGTGTGTTCAGTGAGTGCATTTCCTCCTATGCTGTCTGCCAGACCAGGCTCTATGTTGTGATGTGTACTCTTGGCGTCGGGGGACCACCTGGGGTGTGTGAGTGTGTGTGTGTGTGGGGGGGTGGATTCAGGAGAACTGAGACTGCCCTTGTCCTGCAGGTCTCCCTGGGCTGGGCCCTGGGCATCCAACCCCAGTGTCCCCCTTTCTGAAGTTCCCTCTCGTTCCAGAGGCATACCAAGTGCCTGGTCCTCCAGGCCCCGTTTCAACAACATGGGACAGAGCTTTTGGTAATAGAAGGGTCTGTCCATCTGTCTTGCCAACCCAGTCCTAGACATGCTCCTGCTTCCCCCAGCCCAAGGTCTCAAGTGCCAGAGGTGCCCAGGATACCAGATGGCAGTGCCTGCTCTGCAGGACAGTGGTAGGAGGCATGTTACCTGTAAGGGTCCAGTATAGGAGGACACCCTGGTAGGTGACTCCAGCTCTCCCGGCAGGAGTTTCAGTGATCTGGAGAAGACCAGTGAGGGAGTAAGGCTGACTCGGCCAGCCAAGCTTCTGCCCCAGCCAGGAGAAGGAGGGGGAGGAGCAAACACCTCAGCAGGGCCTGGAGCAAAACCGGGCCTGGACTATGGCAACCCAGGGTGCGCCCGAGAGTGGCTTTCAGAGAACCCAGAGCTAGTTTGGTGGGTCCATGAGGGCCAGGACTTGGCCCCAGCTGCACTGTACACTCACCCTGTAACTCGAGCAGGCCGACCTGCCTGGGCCAGCACCAGGCCTCTTCTGGCTGTCCATAAAATGGGTAGCAGCCCCGCCCAGCCCAGGGCGTAGCTGATAGGAAATCGCTTTGAAAGCAGTTAGACACCTTTCTAAGAACCAAAGTAATAGAAGGATTGCAGACTTTGCAGTTAAACAACCCTGCATAGAGTCCCTGCTCTGCCACTGTGTAACCTTGAGCAGGTCTCTTAACTTCTCTGAGCTACAATTTCCTCCTATGTAAGCTGGATAGCAGAATGAAAGAACCCTGTTAAAGGGGAATGCAAGTGCCTGGTACAAGTTGGCATGGAGTAGGTGCCAAGCATTCCCTCTCCAACACAGTCCAGTACTCATGACCATTTCTGTACCCACTGTCCCTCTGTGTCTACAGACACCACAGGAAGGTGCTGGCCACAGCAGAGCAGCTCTCTCTGTCCTCTCTGCCACCCTGGACTGCATCCGCTTGAGAAGACCTGGACTCTTCAAGATAAGGGTTCCAACACCCTGTCTGTGGGGTTTCCGAGTTGTTCAGCACCAGATTCTGCCCACCCTGAGAAACAAAGCTTCGGGCTCTACAGGACAATGGCTTTAGGACTGTGATCCTTGGAGGCTGTCTTCGTTCTGGTCTTGGGCACAAGAGGCCAAGAGCTTTTTTTTTTTTTTAAACATGGTCTTGCTATGTAGCCCAAGCTGGCCTGGAATTTGGCCTCCTTCTGTTTCAGCCTCCCGGAGTTCTGGGATTAAAGGGATGCACCACCACTGCTGGCCATACCAAAGCTTTCTGATTCCCCAAATCTACTTCTAACCACACAGCCTGGACCTACCTACTTCCCCTCCCTGTGGCCATGGATTACAGATTACAAAGCAGCTCGCAGACCTCTGGGAGAGGAAGTGGGGCAAGGAGTGGATTCTAAAGGAAAATTCACCTATTTTCCCCATCAAAAGTCCTCTGAAGGCTCTCACTATTCCGAGAAACTGAGGGATCCCTTCTCCATTCCCAGTCCAAAGTATAGCCTATTGCTTATGTTTTGCTAGTTAATCTTATTCTCAGAGCCTCTTTTTCCTCATCTGGTAAATAGAGGTGATCTGAAGGATTATCATTTACAATAAAATGGACCCCAGGTATAGTTCTGGTGCAGTGTTTGCTTAACATTTGCAAGGCCCTGGGTTGGTTGGAATGTTTACATATGCAACTGTCCCCAGTCCCCTGGGGGAGCCTCATCCTGATGCCTCCTCCTCTGCCAAGGCTCCCGCTTCTTTATCCCTTCCTCAGTGATGTTTCTCCAGCTCTTCTCCCGCCTCTCAGCAGCCCTGGAAGGTATCAAACTTTTTGTCTACTCTTCAGGTCTGTTTCCCTTCTGACCTCCTGTCCTTTCTGTAACTGGGACTCTCCTGGCTGCTGCTCCCAGCCAACTCTCCTGCTGTCACCTCAACTTGAATCCATCTGGCTCCCTCCCCCACCTGAACACCTGAAAACTTTTTTTGGGGGGTCAGTACTGGTGTTTGAGCTCAGGGCCTCATGCTTCCTAGGCAGGTGCTCTACCACTTGAGCCATTACACCAGCCCTTTTTGTGCTATTTTCCAGATAGGGTCTCGAGAACTATTTGCCCAGGGCTGGCTTTGAACCCTGGTTCTCCTGATCCCTCCCTCCTGAGTAGCTAGGATTTCAGGCATGAGCCACTGGAGCCTTATTTCCAAGTTCCCATTCCTGTAAGCAGCCCCCACGTTTGTCGTCATTCCCTCCCTGACCCATCTGTCAGCTCTCCCCTACTGCCCAGCCTCTCTCCCATGATTTCCTTGTACCACACTGGCTCCTCCAGCCCTGTTTTGCCCAGCTGTCAGAGGGCTTTTTGAATACATTACTTCTGCCATTTCTCAGATTTGGAAGATGCCAGCAGCCAGCCACAAATCTTGAACCATTCCAGCCTCCCTTGGACACCTTCGTGAGTGCCTTCCTTGTGGGCTGTCCAACCCTTCAGCCTGACCCTTGGGATCACCACAGTAAATCTGGCTCTGACTGTCCTTCATTGCCTATCCCTTACAGTCTGGCTAAGTCCCCTTTCTGTCACTCACTCCAATACCCTTGTCCTTGTGCTCCCTGTCCAGCTGCTAGAGGCTCCAATCATCTCCACTAAGGTCTCTCTGCCCTCCAGTCTCCAGAAACCACCTTGGTAGAGGAACAGGGCCAGAGAGGCCAGCAGGTCTGGGTTCAGCCTTGTGGTTCCCCCATGACCTTGATCAACAATCTACACAAGCTGCCTGCTCTTCCTTGTAGAACAGGGACAACAGCAGCTGTCTTGTAAGATTGTTGGAAAGAGGGCTTTCTTTTCTTTACCTGCACCCAATCTTTCTTTGGCAGCACTGAGGTTTGAACTCAGGGCCTCATGCTTGCTAGGCAGGTGCTCTATTTGAGTCGCGCTCCCAACCCCCCATTCTTCCTTCTTGTTTGTCAAGACCCTGTGTCCCCTGGAGAAACTGCCTTTCTCTCCTTGTGCCCCAACAAGGCCACCTTCTAGGATGGGCCAGGTGGGTGCTCTATAGCCAGGCTGCTGGGTTTGAACCATGGTTCCACTCTTCCTACTCTATGATCTCGTCTGTGTTCATTTCTTCATCTGTAAAATGGGGACCACAGTGAGGTTAAATAACACAGAACTTTATTACAAGATCTAGTATGCAGTAAGTACTCAAAAAAACTTTTTTCTTTTCTTTTTTGGTGCTGGGGCTGAAACCCAGGGCCTTGTATGTGCTAGGTGTGCTTCACCATGAAGCTACACCCCAGCCCCAGATACAGTCTTTAAGCCAGGCTGTGAGAAGGCAGCCACAACTTCAATAGGTGGAAGGCAAAGGACCAGAGGTGGGTGAGTGCTGCAGGGTGTATGGAGAGTGAGGAGCTCAGTGACATGACTGACAGATGTGGCAGGACCAAGGGCTGCCAATTCCCTTGACTTAGCCCAACTGTGCACTCCTGGGTGAGGGGGAGGTCCAGGGCTCTGGTCTGCTAGGTTCTATTCCCAATCCTACTGTCAAGTTCTTCCCAATAGGGAATTTGGGAGGGGTTTCTACACACTTGCCTCCAGGAGAGCTGGGATCACAGACATGGAGTGGTAGGGAATTCCCATAGTCTGGGCATGGGGCAGGATATACCTAGAGATGCTGACATCTCCATAAGCTCCAGTCCTGGGACACACATTCAGACATGCATTGGCAACCAGATCTGTCCCTGGGGGCAGAGATACTCAAGGACATCAAGAAATTACAAACTGAAGGGGCTGCATAGAGGGAGAAAATAACAGGCACCACCTGGACTCAAAACTTTATTTCCTGCTAGAGAGCCCCTCACAAAGGAGCTCGTGGAGCAGAGGGCCAAGGCAGGCAGCACAGAGGCCTTTCTGGCTACTTGAAGAAATAGCAAACTCCACTCCTGATGACACTGGTTGCTCTGACAGTCTACCCACACTCTGGACCCAAGGGCTGCCACGGTCAACACGAGGCCCTACCTCGGCTGAGTCAAATGTGTTTTTACCCTGCTTGGTTTAAAGAGGGCCACTCTATATCAACTCTACTTGCTTTGTCAGCCATGCCCCAATTACCAGGGGGTTGGGGGGGCACGCGCGCGACTGCCAGGCTGGAGGACACCAGGAGATGTGACACATTCTATTCTAGTGCAGCTTGGGCAGACATCTCAAGGAGCCCATCCAGCCCCTGTGAACCGTTCTAGGCTTGGGGAAGCCTCCAGACAACTTGGCTTCCAGACTTTTCAGTGTATGCCACCCCATCTCGGGACAGAACTATTGGCCAGAGGTCAGGTTCCTAGTCCAGCTCTAGTCATCATCCTGGCTCATCTGATAGGTCTGTTTGCATCAGTCCTTGGATTGTGGCAGGAGGAGCACAGTGGCAGTGGCAGGAAGAGCTCTAAGGGAGGTAAGGCCTCCCAGAAAGAGGAGGTGCCGCAAGGGCGGGGTCCCAAGCCCAGGGAAGGGACAGGGAGCTTCTGAGTGGCCAGTAAGACACAGGCAGACAGCCGAACCCTGTGTTCATTTTCAGCCTTTCCATTCCACCAAGCCCAGACCCCACATCCAACCCAGCAGGCCAAACCTGCGTTTGGGGGCAAGGAGAAAGAATCTGGGAGTAAAACGGGTGAGAGCGGCTTCCTTGGGAGCCTGGAAGGTTCAGGGCCACCTGCAGCCATCACCGCAGATTGAAGACCAGGCTGACGGTCAGGATGATGCCCAGGAAGAGGACGAAGGGTAGCCAGGTCTTCACAAAGGCCCCAACACTGACAGGGAGAAGAGCACAGTGAGTAGGAGTGTGGTCCAGAGCCCCATCCAGCCACAACCTGACAGGGTTGCCATATCTAAGGAAGCCCCTGAAACCACACCCTCCTCCCAAACTTGGCCAACCAAGGTTGGGGTCCAGCCTGATGCCCATTAGGGAAGACCAACAACTCCCAATGGAGGTCCTGAAACTGCTGGCCAGATCCAGACTGCTCACCCTCTTTGGGGATCACTGGCTCTATCCATAACCACTTATCTCTGGGAAGAGGCCTCCAGTAGGAGGAGCCAGAACTTCTGTGTGGGCGTGTAAGCCATGAATGCCCTCCTCCACAGCCTCTATTAATGGGACCCACTGGAAGAGTGGGGTGGACGAGTATGAGCAGTGTTGTGATTAGAGCCATGGGGCTGGGAGTGAGGGGCCTGGCTTCAACCCTGGCTCTGCCTCAGTCTGTGACCAAAGCTATGTTCTTCTCAGGGGACCTCTAAAAGCCTTCCAGAGAGGAAAGAAGGTCCCAGAGAGCACAGCTAAGAGGAAACTTGGAGAGAGGCGGCCAGATTAGCCGTGTGTACTAGTTCCAAAGCCTGGAATCTGAAGTGGCCATGCTGTGGGACCATGACAATTCATTTGAATGCTGGGATTAAATTCAGGGCTTCAAGTGCTTTACCACTTGAGTCAAGCCCCAATCCTTTTGCTTTTTTAGTTTTTTTTTTCAGATAGGGTATTATACTTTTGCCTGGGCCTGTCTTGGGATTGTGACCCTCCTACCTCTGCCTCCTCAGTAGTTGGAATTAAAGGCATGTACCACCACATCTGGCTTGTTTTTGAGGTAGGGTCTCATGAACTTTTTGCCTGGGTTGGCCTGCAACTGTGATCCTCCTGATCTCTGCTTCTAGAGTAGCTAGGTTATAGGCATGTGCCACCATGCCCAGCCCTGAGCTCTCTTTACTGTGAGCTGAGACTAATGTCTTGGACTTCACAGATCATAAGACTGTGACTTCAAAGCTCCATCTGGGCTGTCACTGGGCCTACCTGCCCAGAACCCTGTCTCTCACAAAGGATGCATGGGAAAGGACCTTGTGGGGGCAGTCAGCACATTATCTGTGAGGATCTTTCACAATGCCTGAGTATAGGGTACTGGAGTCTCATGGATTCCCAAGAAGACAGAATCATTTACTGCCATCTTACCAAGGACAGCGACAGCCTGGAGGCCATGGCAGTTACCTAGGGCATCACAGTGAGCAAGTGACAGCGAGGCTGGGGACCCAGGTGGAACTGGACTTTGGCACAGCCACTCACTTTCCACCAGGAACTCAACTAGTCATTCTAGAATCTTCATAGTTCCAAGCAGCTCCAATTGTCCCTACAGACTAAGATACTACAGCAATGGCCTCAACAGGACCGTTGGGGTGCAGCTCACCTGACGTATTTCCCATACAGCAGGCAGAAGCAGCAGAGTGTCACCATGTTCCAGTTGGTGCTGTTGTTGTAGTGCATCAGGTTCAGGGCCAATGCCACATGTGAGTGGCAGTTGTCACAGCAGAGATTGTGCTGGAGGTGCAGAAGGACTGGGTTAGAATGGATTGGAAAGAACCAGCTTTAGGACTGCCTGCCATCCCAGCCCACCTACCATGCGATGCTTGTACTCCTCAGAGGCGTCATGCACAGCTGTGTCCCATGCATTGGGCCCACTAGCGTATACTTGTGCAGGGTCCAACTTCCAGTACCTAAGGGGAGAGAGGGGATTCTAGGCAGTGGCTCAACTCCCTTGTGGCCTCTCAGCTTTATGAATGCTCTCTGTAGCCTGCTATGTGCCTGGCCCTGAACTGGGTCCTGAGGCCATGGGGGTAAGTAAGATTCTGAGCAAGTGTCATACAGAAGACAACTGTTAACACAGGGTAAGATGCCCAGTGCCATAGTGGATCCTAGAAGGACATGGAACTAATTTAGTCAGGGGTGCTAATGGTCTGGATATTTCTCCCATTCATATGTTGAAATCCTATCCTCCAAGGTGATAGTGATAGGAGGTGAGGCCTTTGAGAAATGACTGAGTCTTGGGGAGGGGTGGGGGGAACCTTTATGAATGCAATCAGTGCTGTTGTAAGAGAGTCCTGAGAGACCCCTCTCCCTTTCCACCATGTGAAGACACAAAGAGATACTGCAGGCCCTCTCCAGGTGCTGAATCTACCAGCACCTTGATCTTGGCCTTTCTAGCCTCCAGAGCTGCCGTGAGAAATGTTTCTGCTGTTTATAAACCACCCACTCAATGGTATTTTGCCATAGCAACCTAAATGGATGAAGACAGAGGGTGTGAGAAAGCTTTCTGGAGGTATAACAACTAGCTAGTGGGACACAAAAAAGGAAGGTGGGCACTGGAGAATGAGGGAACAGCTTGAACAAAGTGAGAGACATAAAACTGTGTAGTCCCAGAAATTAAGTGACTGAGCACTACTGAAGGATTCAGACAGAGAAACAGGGTGATGGAATGCTGGCAGGTGAGGCAAGCATAGCAGGGGATATATCATGCAGGGACTTGACTGTCACACTGAGGAATTTACCAACCAGCAACACTGTCTAAAGTTTCCCCACTGGGCTTCTGGGGTGAGTGGGAGAGAAGCCCAGGAACATCAAATTGAGTGAGAACCATTGCTCCAAGCAATGGAGTGCCCAAAGGTCTCAGGCCAGGAGTGCCCTCTGGCTATTTTGTAGGGAATGGCTTGGTGGGAGGAGCCTAGAAACAGAAACCACCAGAGCCTGGACTGGTGTTGCTCAACTGGACTGGCAAACACCTAACCCAGAGATCTGGCACACCAGGTGCTTGGTACAGGGCTGCTATGAGGACCTGGCTGTCCCTCTTCTCCACATCTGTCCAATCAGAACTCTCCTTCTCTGCTGGGGGAAGTATACTGGAGGATACTGGCTCCTGCTGTGCACAGGGCCTGGCCTTCTGCTCTAGGCATGAGGAAATTAGCCCTAGGGCCAGTCACACAGGTGTTAATCACTTACTTGGCAGGCTTTCCAAAGGCCATGTTGTCTTCCTGTTGAAGGACAAGAGCAGAGGTCAGTGAGGAACCTACATCCAGGCTGCATGACAAACCTGGATCAGTGGCTGAAGTGCAGTGACTTTGAACAAGATAATGCTAGGGTGGGCAGAAGTTGGGCATGGGCCCACTCAGGGGCTGGTGTGGTAGCTGAAGTGCCAATAAAGGCTTTTCTTTGGGGAGAAGAGGTGCAGCACTCAGGAGATTCTCTGGCCCTCTCTGGGCACTGTTTTCTCTAAATTCTCCGGTCAGTCTTCTCTTATCTTTGATCATGGGCAAGAGGGTTTCTTCATGGTGCAAACACCAGCCCTCTGCCCTCCCAGACCAATGATGATAGCTCACATGAAACTCCTTCTGGCAGCCTGATAGCACTCAAAGCAGGAGGGGAGGCTGCTAGGCCTACAGAGCCTTCCTACAGAGGAAGACACTGTGATGAAGACCTAGGCTTACCATGTTGAGACCTGGGGTATGGGAGTTATGCAGAGATAAGAGTCTGGGTTCAGAACCAAGGAGACCCTATTGATCAAAGAGCTGGCTGAAGAAGATTTATAAAAATACATGATAGTGTCTGGGCATAGTGATGCACACCTGTAATCCCAGCACTCAAGAGGCTAGGGCAGAATTATAAGTTCAAGGCCAGCCTGGCCTACACAGTAAGACCCTGCTCCCAAAACAACACAACACAACACACCCCCAAGCTTTGATTTTTAAACAGTGAAAGTATTTTTTAAATAGGTCTTGTTCTGTTAAGATGGTAATGACAACTACTAATATAAACTTGCTGCTGCGACCACACCCCTTCATTCCAGCCTGAAACCTGAGGACAGGTAGATACTCATGCTCATCTGGAGAGAGCCCACTAGACCAGTCTTGGTCCATTCCCAAGGAAAACAGACTTGAGAACACAGCTGGTTCATTCTAGAAGTCCCACCCCAGGAACCATGTCAGCCTCCCCTGTCCCCTCACTTTGGCTCCCACCTTCTGAAGGTCCAGAGATGTGGTTCCTGGATGGTCTGACTCCACTCTTGCCTCTAACCCCTACCCATGTCTCGGTACCCCAGGGGTGGGGGCAAAGGGTTGGACCAGTTACTTAAGAATCCTCTGGCCACACTGCCCTCCTGGCCTGTCCTAGAGGCAAGAGAAGGAAAGGGGTCAAACACTGGTGAGGGGCAGAGGGCTAGGGCCAGAGCTGCATGTTATCTGTGTTTTCCTGGGTCTGGAGAGACAGTTCAGCATTTCATGTAAACCCTGGGACCCTCAAATGCAGGACAAAATGGGACTCACCGAGACAAAATAGGGGCCAGCGAAGTCCCGAATGACTCCTGTGGATGTGCAGATGCCCATGTGGCCAATGATAGGGAAAAACCACCTGTGAAGGAAAAAGACAGGGAAGGGACAGAGCTCAGGGGGTCTTTCAGCCAGTTAGACAGATGCTTCATCCAGAGTGGGAACATGTGAATACAGTGTCCTCTGATGAGTACCCATTAGGATGGTCCAGAAGAGCAGAGAAAGCACAGAAGAGGGAGAACTGTGAATTAATGTACAATGGGATACCCCTGCACCACCACCCAAAGGGCTACAGCTAAAAGGACAAGAACATCAAACACAGGCGAGGATGAGGAGCAATCGGACTCTCCTCTGCTGGGGGGAGTACAGTTTCTATCACTTTGGAAAACAATTGGGAACTTTCCTCTATGTCTCAGCAGTTTCACTTCTGAGTATACAACCAATAGAAATGAGGGCTTATATCCACCAAAGCCATGTATAAGAAAGTTCATAGTGCCTTTATAGCACTGGGAACATTTGTCAAAACTCACTGAACTTGAGGCTGGGGGTGTGGCAGCCCTGGGTTTGATCCCTAGCACTGCAAAAATCAAAAAGAAAATCAAACCTCACTGAAATTGTGTGCCTTTTACTCTATGTAAATTATCTCAATATAAGTTGGTAAAAAAAATAAACTGAGCTGGATATGGTGGTACATGTCCATAATCCCAGTACTTGGGAGACTGAGGCAGGAGGATCACAAATTTGAAGCCAGTCTGGGTTATACAGCAAGGCCCTGTCTCAAAATCAAAATAAGCGGAATGGTGGAGGCTCATGCCTGTAATCCTAGCTACTCAGGAGGCAGAGAACAGGAGGATCAAGGTTGAGAGACCCTATTTCAAAAACAACAACAAAAACACATCACAGACACAAAAAAAGGGCTGCTGGAGTGGCTTATGGTGTAGGCCCTGAATTCAAACCCCAGAACTGCAAAAAAAAAAAAAAAAAATCCACCCCCCGCCAAACTGGAAATAATTCAAATGTTCAGCAAAAGTAAAATTAATACGTAAACTGCAGTATAGGCTATACAATGAAACTGTATATAACAATAAAAAGGAAGAAAATTCTGCTACCTACAACACAGACTCTCCCAGACTAAGGCTAAGGGAAAAAAAAAACCTTAACCGAGAGTACAAACTGTAAGTAGTCTGTTTATAGTTCAAAAGAAGACAAGTTCAGAGTTGGTGGAGTGGCGTAAGTGGTAGACCACCTGCTTTGCAAATGTGAGGCCCCAGTGCCACCAAAAAAAAAAGAAGACAAGTTCAAGAGAAGTTAACTCTGTAGCACAACTGCCTGGGAGAAGCACAAGGCAGCTCTGTCTGTGTGGTGGGTACGTGATATGGACCTATGCAAAAATTCACTGAGCTGTGAAGATTTGTGTACCCTGTGGCATATAAGTAAGACTTCCTTATAAAACTTGTAAGGAAGTATAAGAAGAAGGCACTTAAACCAATCTGTGTGTGTATTGGGTGGGGGTCAGGAAAGGGTTCCCCAAGGAAATGAAGAAACATGTGTAAGGACTGAGACCAGGATAAAACATGGTGTATTCCAGGAACTAAAAGTCCAATTTTTTAAAAAGCCACAGGCCTTTATTTATTATTAAGGCAGGATCTTACTGTGTTGCCCAGATTGGCCTCAGACTCCTGGGCTCAAGTGATCCTCTTGCCTCAGCCTTCCAACTAGCTGGAACTACAGGTATGGGCCACTATGAACAATTTTTTTTTTTTTTTGGTGGTACTGGGGTTTGAACTCAGGGCCTCATGCTTGTTAGGCAGGCGTTCTACTATCTGAGCCACACTTCCAACCCATCATGAACAATTTTTAAAAAGCAACTCTCAGGGAGCTGGAGGAGTATTTCAAGGGATAGAGTGCCTACAAGTGTAAGGCCCTGAGTTCAAACACCTTTACTTCCAAAAAAAAAAAAAATTTTCAGATGGACCCCAATATGTAGCACATGGGAACCCCCGATCTGTCTGTAGTCTAAGAACCATGGCCCTACAGGGCCTGGGTGCTGGTGAGACGGATTCAACTTAAGCGGAACTCACAGGGCCAGTGGCCCCAGGTCCCAGTCTCCAGGCTGCCAGAGCATGAGCACAAAGCACCCTGCTAGGGAGGGAGAGACACAGCTCAAGGAAGCAATGACATGGGGCTGGGGCCAAGTCAGCAAAGACTTCACAGAGAAGAGGTGACTTTTAATCTGACCTGTGAAAGGACAGGACAGCAACATGCAGAAAAGAAGGCTCAAGAGGTAGAGTGCCTGCTTAGCAAGTATAAAGCCCTGAGTACAAACCCTAGTACTACAAAAAAACCCACAAAAAAAACAAACAAAACCCCCTACCAGGCAGAAGAGAAAACTCCAAAGCAGCTGTATGGCATGTGTTTGAAGAATGGTGGGGAAGATGAAAAGAAGGCAGAAAGGAAGCCAGTACAGAGGATTCTGCTGCAATCCTGGCCACAGAGGATGGTAGTCCTGACTAGAGTATAGTTGGGAGGGTGAGAAGCAGGTGGATTCAAACCATTTTACAAATTAGACTGGACAGTTTTAAGACTATGGAGGTTTTCCCTGAACCATGCCTTCCTGAGTAGTCACAATATAACCCTAGGCCCCAGATTCATCACTTTATTTTCTTCACAGTATCCATGTACTACTATCTGAAATTATCTTCACTATTTAATGTTATCTGCCTGTCTCTCCCCCACTAACACTTAAATTCCAAGAGAACTAGGATTTTTCTCTCATTTTATTGTCATAACCTTTTTTTTTGGTAGGGCTGGGATTTGAACTCAGGGCTTCATGCTTGCAAAACAGGCACTCTACACCTCTTGAGCCACACCTGTAGTCCATTTTGCTCTGGTTGTTTTGGAGATGGGGTCTTGCAAACTATTTGCCTTGGGTGGCCTCAAACCTCAAATCCTGCTCAGCTCAGCCTCCCAAGTAGCAAGGATTACAGGTGTAAGCCACTTGCATACAGCTTATTGTCATAACTTCTAAGGGAGTACTTGGCACATAGCCACAACTCACTAAATATCTGTTGACTACATGACGAACAAACTCCCTACATTTAAGAGTGGGGGGGTGCAACTGGATAGGAGGAACAGCTCCCAATGTTCTACAGAACAGTAGAGTAACTATGGTTAATAACGACTAAGTGAAATTTCAAAATAGCTAGTAGAAAGCATTTTTAAATGTTCCTAACACAAACAACAAATGATAAATGTCTGAGGTGATGGGTGTGTTGAATACCCTGATCTGATCATCACATATTTTAAATATGTATTGAAATGTCATCCTGTACACTAAAAAATGTACAATTACAATGTGTCAATTAAAAAAAAAGTAGAGTCAGGTTCTGATGTCAGATATAGGTTGAGTTTTGGTTTTGTTTTGGGCAAGTTATTCATACTCATGTCTCGAAGTACCTTGATGGGGGACCATTGGGAGGATTAAATAGGATCTGTTGCAAAATGCTGGGAACACTCACAAGTTCTGTAGCTGTTGAGATATTCAGTAAATACTTGCTATATGACTTATTGGTCTGATAAAGAATAAGTTATTGAAGATCCATAGTGGCCCCAGGATGGACACTCAAGAATTATGGGAAAGTAGCTTACCTGGCGTCTTAGACCCTGATCTCATGACCTCCCCTGAACCTGACTCCTTTCATCTGGCTAGGAAAAGATCTGGCTTTGACCAGTATTCCACACACCACAGCTGTGCCAGGGCTGCTGAAGGAACTCAGAGTGAAGGCAGGAGGCAACAACAAAGCCCTGTGCCTAATGAAGCCCCAGGAAAGAAACCCTCAAGCAGTTTGCTCATCTGTCTGGAAGCACCACAAAGGCAAGCTCCAGAGCTGCTTTGTGAACTACTGTCTACTCAGACCTGGTACATAAGAGGTTCTTGATAGTGACTTAGTGAATGAATAAATTAATTACTAATCCTGGAGCTCTACCTGGGAAGAGAAACCATCTTAGTGGGGAAAACCCAGTGCTGGTTTCTAAGCCTTTATTTCTTCTTATCTGTATGGGGGTGACAGTATCTATTTTCATAGGTTGATGTAAAGGCTGAATTAGAGTGGACATGAAATATTTAGCTGTTTTTATTAGTAGCAACAATTATCTGGCTTTTCATGCAGAATCATCTCTAAGGGGGTGGAAAGATCATTGGGTGTAGTTTCCTTCCTTGATCTCCCTTCCAAAGGGAGATCTATTTCTAACTTTGCACTCCTTGTTAGCAACATCACCTTCTCTCTCTTGCTGGTGGGTGAATCCTGTGAAAGGAGCATGAGCCCTTTGATAGGCACCGGTACCTTACCCATCTTGATCTTATTAACACCTGCACATAGATCTGAGTAGACTGGGATGTGAGCTGCTTCTGGGCAAAATGACTGGGGATCATGGTACTTCCACTTCATATTGCTACCAGTTCTCTGCAGCGGACCATGCTACAAATGGTATTTTTGAAAATGAGGAAAGGCCAAAGAGATCTTAGGATAGCATGATGGGTTTTAGCAAAACCAATACACTTCCCAAGGATTGCTCCCAGTTACTCTCACATTAACCTTTTATTTTCATAGCACTGATTACTATCAGAAGTTCTCCTTACTTGTTTCTTGTTTAGCCACCAAGATTTAAACTCTATGAGAGAAAGCACCATTAACTGCTTTTTTTTTTTGGCTATATTGGGGGTTTGAACTCAGGGCCTTACACTTAATAGGCAAGTACTCTACCACTTGAGCCACCACCACCACTGTATATTCTTACTACCTACAACTATCTGGACACATAGGAACCACTTAGCAGATGTATTAAAAGAACATTAAATGAATTAATAAACACATGTTAGGCTTTTTTTTTTTTTTGTGGTACTGGGTTTGAACTCAGGGCCTTATGCTTGCTAGACAGGCACACTACCACTTGAGTCACTCCACCAAGCCCCAATAAACATACGTCTTACAAATTTATTTTTAAAGGACTCAGATTTGTCTGCTCTTAAAGAAATGTAAAAGCATTTGAAAACACAAAACTATTCAAGTATTTTAACATACAAAAATTAAGGTCATTTAGCTAGGCATGGTGATTCATACCTGTAATCTCAGCACTCTCGAGGCTGAGGAAAGAGAATGGGGAGTTCGAAACCAGTTTGAGCTATATAGAGAATTTCAGGCCAGCTCTGGCTACATAACAAGACTTTGTCTCAAAAACCAAAAACCAAAAAACCAAAAAACACTAAAGCAAATAATAAATAAATGAAATTGAGGTCATTTAGGATCAGCAACATATAAGGCCAAAAATGATCCCCTTTCCACCCAACCATTTGGTTATTTTTAATAGAGATGAGAGAGGATAAGAGAGAATAAAATGTGGCTAGCAGTCAGCAAGCTAAACCAGGCCCCCAGTGGCTCACACCTGTTATCCTAGCTACTTAGGAGACACAGATCAGGAGAATGTTTGTTCCAAGCCAGCCAGAGCAAATAGTTCGCAAGACCCTATCCCAAAAATGGGCTGGTGGAGTGGCTCAAGGTGTGGGCCCTGAGTTCAAGTCCCAGTATAACACGAAAGAAATGGAGGGAGGGAGGGAGGAAGGTGGCTGTGAACGTCAGAGTGAAAAAGTTTGGCAAACTGTTTATTGTCACCATCTGTGAAGGTTGAAGTAGGAGGGCAGCAAGCAGCACCTGTGCACCTGCTTCTCTACTGACCAAGGCCTTCCTTCCTTCTTCGGGGGAGGAAGACACCCTGGGGATCAGACCCTGCTTTGCAACTGAGATGGTGTGAGACAAAGGGTTCGACTCCCAGACCTCTGGGGGACCTTCCAACGTTGACATCCCAGGAGCCGTGGTGGCCCAACTCCCCCCCCCGTACTTCCAGACGCAGAGGATGTCCTGCGTAAGCATTTGCGCATTGAGCGAATAAGCGGGTGAATGAATGAAGGTGTCTCCTCAGACCCTAGGGGCGCGTCTTCTCTAGAGACTGCCAGCCAGTCCCTGGTCATTCCCGCGGACCTACACTCGTCTTTTCCCGGACTAAAACAGGTGTAATCGCGGCAGGGAGAGTGTCCTGCGGTCTGCGGAACCGGCACCGCGCGGGTGGTGGGGTTCTAATTTGACTTCGCGAGGGGTACGAGCCCTAGTTTGCTGCGTGTCGGGGCCGGAGACTGATTCGAGCCCGGCCAAGGCCGACTCAAGGGCCTCGGCTCTCCCTGGACCCTCATCAGCTCAGCCCGACACCTGAGGAGACTCACGTGAGCACCGGGATGGGCGTCCATACCACGCAGTAGGGGAAGCGGCTCCGCTCCACATCCATGGTTACGCCGCCGCAGCCGTGGTACTGCTTCATGTCCGTCTCGGCCGCCGTCGGCGCCTCCACTTCCGCCATCCCGGGAGGGGGCGGTGGCGGCAGCAACAGGAGCGGAGAACTCCCTTCCGCTTCCGCCATGCTGTGCGCGCCCCGCTCCGGCCTGCTCCGCTCCGGCGCCACTTGTGCCCGTGGCGTCACTTCCTGGCGGTGGAGTCCGCGCCGTTGGCTTTCCCCCGGGAATTGGAGCCGCGTCTCTTTGGGCCTGGCCGCCAGCCGCACCTGCACTGCCCTCAGGCAGCTCGCAGTCTAGCGCCGAGACCCCCGACCAACTCCAATCAGTACGCTGGGTGGGGTAGGGTGCAGGCGCTATGTATTGGGCACTTGGCATACATTGTTCCTAATTCCCATAAACTGATTAGACGTACAAGTTTAGGTATTTTCCTGTTACAAGTGAGAAACTGAAGCAGTAGTGGGGGAGGTAAGGGGCCACGACTCAAACCTAAGTCTTTATATCTCCTTTGAGTTTCACTAACCTCTCATGAATTAGTGAAAAAGGAAGGCAGACTAAAATCTTTGTGTGTGTGTGTGTGTGTGTGTGTGTGAGAGTGAGAGAGAGAGCGAGAGCGAGAGCGGGAGCAGGGGAGCGAAAAGATATTTGAGCTGAGTCTTGATGTTTGCCAGGTGGCATAGGGGGAGGGGGTTGGATGCAGCGGTGCAAAAAAAGGAAGGCCTCTCCTGCACTGTGTGCAGGAGAGTGTGGCTATCATCCTGTCTGGAGTAAATCAAGAGACTTAGATGTGATCCAATTCCTTTTTTGTTCAATTAGAAAACTGAGGCTCAGGGAAGTTAGCAATTGTCTCTAATCACCCAATAATGCTGAGAGGCCAGGCTCTGATCTTGGAGTCTTTTGGCTTTTAGAGTGATGCTCAGACAAAGGATATGAAATCTGCTGCAGTGGGGAGGGGTAGTGTGGAAAACGAGGAAGGCATCCATTAAAAATCAAGTGAAATGAAAGTCTGGACAAATGTACTCAGGAGGATGGGAGGTGTGCCTTTTGAGAAGGTCTTTCTTTAATAGAACTACTCTCCCTCAACATTAATATACAGAAAGCCTGTTGTTCTGTTTTTGGCACAAACATAATACTTCAATGTATTTTGGGTATGTCTGTCAGTACTATGGAATTCCTAAAGCCCTTGATATCCATAGCTAGTACAGTTCCTGGTGCAGAACAGATGCATCAGGAGCTATGAACTATGCACAACAGATGCACCAGAAACTATGCACAGACCTGTTAAATAGTCACTGTTTATTGATGGAGTCAATGAATTGACATCTTCTAAAGGCCTCACAGGTATCACAGCTGAAAATTATTCTAACCCGATCAAAATCCTTGAGCATGTTTGTACTTCTCCCGTGACCCTGTGTAGTGTGTGATCCTTGGAAGGCACCAACAAGCATTTAGTGCAGAGCTTGGAATGGATTAGGTGGCCAGTATACAGTTGTCAGATGAATAAATTACATTGCTTTGTGATTCAATCACTGTGGTTATCCAAGCTCTTCTGTACTACAGGCTCCAAGGAAGGTCTGTGCCTTCGACATTCCTCTACTATCACTGTCAACTATTTGCCCTTTAAGCAAAGAAAGTCTCTCAGGGTTTGCCACAAATTCAATCGTACTACCATAGCACCACAACCTTTCCATTGCACTTAGTGTAAGACACAAGTATCTTACCATGGTTTACAAGGTCCTACATTTCTGAATTGTACCCCTTTCTTGTTCACAGCCACCTGGACTTTTTCCAGTTCCTTTCATGTGCCTGCTCTTTCACATCCAAGGACACGATGCACACTGTTGCCCTCTGCCTGAAATATACCCCTTACCTAAACTAGCTAGCATTTGTTGGGTCTGGAGACCTAAGGCAGATGAGTGAGTATCCCATTCCCCATGGAGGGCAATATCATTCCTACATCCTGAGGAGATGGAGGCCTGCATTCCTACAGCCTAAAGGAGAGATACAGATCTGCCACAGGGCTGATGAGCAAAATGCTCTCAAGATTGTTTCCCCTCCCCCAATAAAGGTGCAAACCAAACCAGTTCACCTGAGAAAGCCCGCGAATCCATGGCCAATGAGAAAAACCCACCTAACCCAGAGTTAGAAGGTACATAAAAACCTCAGCCTTCACCTGAGCAGCAAGTTACCAGCTTCCGGGCTCCGTGGCACTTCCCTAGCTGTAGCCTTTCCTTTCTCTCTAATGAATCCTACTTTATATACTGGCTTTGGCTCATCATTCAGCCAGTTCTCTGGCCTGTGAAGGCAAGGACCTTCGACACCAGCACGTAACACTTCCATTCATCCTTCCAGTTTCAGATTAAATGTCACTTTCAGCTGGTGGAGTGGCTCAATGGTAGAGTGCCTCCCTAGCCAGCATGAAGTCCTGAGTTCAAACACCAGTACTGCCACAAAAAAAAGAAAAAAAAAAAATTGTCACTTTTCAGAGAACTGATGCTTGGGCCTGTAAATTAGCCCCTGATAATCTCCCTTGCAACACCCTAGCCTTTGTTTTTATAGTACAAACTGAACTAGACACTCCTTGAGGGCAGACTGTGTCTTGTTCATTTCTGTAAACCCAATGCTTAGTATAGTGCTTAGTAAGTGGTATTTAATGAATATTCATCAAACTGAATGAGTGATAAATACTTAGCAGGCTTGGCATCACATACTACCTCTTGGTGCTTTGAGCCCTGAAAAGGGGCTTCTCCAGGTTGATGTGCACAGTGCTCAGGCAATGGTTCTGACCAGCGCCAGATCCCTACTCTATGGCCTGCATCTTTCTCCCTTTTTTGGCCTGGGCAGCTGAAGAAGTGGGTCATGACAGGATCAAGTATCTCCTCTCTCCCAGAAGCTGGCTCCATCTCTGATTCCTGTGGGGTCCCTCTCATAGGCTTGTCTTCCACCCCAACCCATCCACAGGGCCCAACTCTCACATACACAAATCACCTTGGTTCTCACTCAATGTAACAGCCGTTCTGGTCTGTGCCTTTGCTTCCTCTGCTCCTTCTTCCCTTTTCACCCACAGACAGATGGGAAATCTCCATCAAAGACTAACACTGCCTTCCAGGCTCAAAGGAGCACAGCAGGGGCCTGGAAGAAGCTCCTCTTACACAGAGAGCTTGGGACAGGATTGATAGGGTTCAGAGCTGCCCCTCCCCCAACACGTACACCAACCAAAAATAGGAATGACCATCTGGATCCACTTATGGGGCTGGCTGGGGGAGGGAAGGATGGCAGAGTGGGGGCTGTCAAGCTGGCAAACCTTTGAGGGTGGGATGCTGCTTGTTTGAAGGTTGAGCTGGGGCACTTCCTGGTTTTTTTTTTTTTTTTTTTGTGGTACTGGGGCTTGAACTCTGGGCCTATGCCTTGAGCCACTCCACCAGCCCTTGTTTTTTTGGGAAGGGTTTTTTTGAGATAGGGTCTCAGGGACTATTTGCCTGGGCTGGCTTTGAACCTTGATCCTCCTGATCTCTGACTCCTAAGTAGCTAGGATTACAGGCATGAGCCACCAGTGACAGCTCACTTCCTGTTTTGATGGGAGTTAGGGTACACCCCTTCTTCCCCCAAATTGGCCCTGTGTAAGGCTCCCCATTGGCCAATTCCACATGTCCTTTCCAGTCTCCCTCCTACTTGTTCAAGCTAGTCTCACCAGCTCTGCTTTTCATACCATGTCTTTCTCACACTGTTCCTTAATCTGGAATGCACTTCTTTTATATCATGTTCAAGGTTTCAGGCAAATGGTCCTCTTTGCTCCCAGAGCATGAAGGCTGTGTCTCCACCTATTGAATATTCATGTGCACTTGCATTAGTGTTAGCTGTTTACAAGTCTTTCTCCCCCCAAGAGACTGTGAACTCCTTTCTGAGAAAGGGACTGACTGGGTCTACTTGGCCCTGCAGTCAGCAGGACACCTGGAAGATAGAAAGTGCTCAGAGAATGTCCCATGAGTTATTTGTTGATGACAGATCAACAAATACGAAGAATCACCTCAACCAATAATCCTGCCATACTGCAGGATGGATTTGCTGCAGGCATGATGCATGGGTGTGGCACGTGGAAAGGCAGTGTCCTTCATTTTGCAGCCTTTCTTTTCAGCTCTGTTATTATTCTTTCTGGCTGTTAGAAACTGGGTCTCTCTCTATATCTATTATAGCTCCAGAAATTTTCATGATTGGGAAAGGGTCAAAGTGACTAACACAATGCAAGAAACCATTTGACAACAGACTCTAACACTTTAAACATCAGAGTTCACAAAACTATTTCCTTCTTCACTCCCATTTATAGATGGGCAAACTTATCCAGGGTTATAGAAAGCACAACTAGGACCAGAATTTAAGTCTCCTACTTTGGGGCAGGCAGGAAAACATGAGGTTAAACATGTAGACTCAGGAATCAAGTGGGCCCAGTGTCTGAACCCTAGCTCTGTCAGTGACTGTCACACTTCAGGAAAGTAGCTGAATTTGTTGGAACACCAGTTTCCTCAGCTTTAAAATAGAGACAAATCCAAATTTTATTGGGGGTTTTGTCAGGTTAGATGGCTTACACCTGAATGATGCCTAGCCAAGGTAAAGATTCAATGCATTTTGGTGCATCTCACTATGAATCGGGTTCACCATCACTGAATCTCGGCATGATCTGGAGCCTGCTCTGGTTATCTTGCTGCATTCACAGGAGGTTTAAGGACTTGCTGGAGGTCTGAGGACATATCACAGTTGGAGCTCTAAACTCAGCCCTGGCTGTTTTTACTGGCAATCCCTTTTAGGGTCACTATATAATGGTGAAGGGAGACCAGCCTGAGAGTCTGTAAGTCAACATAAAGTAGGTATATATTTTGGCCTCATTAGGGCTAGGACCTACTTTATTTAAAGAAATGAGTGGGAGCAGTAGACAGAACCACTGAGTGGCACATGCCTGCTATTATGCCTGTCAGAATTCCTTCAATCTGCCTGCTTTCCCTGCCAGACATATTGACGTCCCAAGGCTTAACAAAGAGCCTGGAACTCAATAGTAGTAGAAAGTATT